TTCTTCTAGGAGTTCTAAGTTTTCTTAAACCTTTGTTGACGAGACTTTATATGAATTTTTCTTTCAACGATGTGTTTTGTGATTTATTTTTATTCCGCGCTGTGAGGATCTCCTGATTACAGTATATGTGCTCATTATTAGCTTTCGCAAAAAATTGTACCAACGCCAAAATGTCGCTCCACTCATTCGACATTTGCAGTTCCTCATCGAAATTCTCTTTCAGCTTATCGTAATTGTGATTCATAGTCAAACTCGTGTTTTTGTAGCTATCAATACTGCCCGATACCATCTCATAAATGTCAGTTCAGTGTCGTCAAAACGATTCCAGAAAAACTAGGTCTACGTGGGAAAGGACGAGAAAGTTCTTGCAACACCTAGAACGATTTGCAACGAGCTCAACGCGTTTTCGATGTTGTTTATGAAGTTGTAGGAAATCAGATTCAGACTTCATTCGAAATCATTCAAAGGATTTACATTGCGCTTTGATTATTGTTATAGCAGAAAGAAAATTTTTGAACTTATTGTTTTTCTTTTTTTCATATTTTTCTCATCAGCATTACTGATCTTTTTCTACATCCAGGAGTAGTGCGATTAAAACGAAAAAAATACGTGAAAAAAACAATAAGCTCAAAAATTTTTTTTTGCTAAAACAAATCTTTCTTTTTTTCTCATCAGCATTATTGATGTTGCTCGTACATCCAGGAGGATACAGCTATTATCTCAGGTCTCTTGTTATATTTTTCAATATAATTTGTAACTTTGGTGAACGGTTATAGAACATCTAAGGTCTCAAGCCAGGTCTCGGCACAGGTGACTTATAAGCAAGCAGGATATCGTTTTTGATATAAAACAAGCGGATATCTTTTTGGAGAAAACACAAATTAGGTTAATTTTTTATTCAACGTTTCGTCTTTCAAGGGTTTTACGTTTAGTTTGAAGTTAAAAGGGACTAAAATCTTGCGAAAGCCAAGGGGGACTTCATTTTTTGCATTTTTGGAAAGCCACGAGTCGAGCCGTGTCTAGGCAGCCAAACTTCACTAAACTTCACATTAGGCTCAAATGCTCCTATTCTTTATTTAAAAACATAGATGACTCACATCTTTTATGATGCAGAAGAACTATGTGATTATTCGAATATGGACCAATTTCTTCCATGAGAAAAGCATATGAAATACTTCATGTTTTACGAAAATACAAAATATTTCTGGTGACTAATAAGTTTATCGTAAGCAAATACGATAGATTACAGCAACAGCGTGAGCACAAATTTGTGACGTGAGTGTGTCAAGTGTATCAACCTAGAAAATAAGCTCCCATCAAGGTATTGCCAAAAGCTGCTTTCGCTTCTGCAAAAGCACACTTAACCATTCAAGCAATTTCTTTGTTCACCACGACTTGCAATGTCATAAACCTTAAAACATTTTAAAGATGCTTGCACTTCGCTCAAGATGACAAGCCGTTTTGAGAAGGAAGAAGAAATTTTGAAATAGCCTCTTTTCGCTACTTTTCTTTTTCAGGGCTCGGCCCAAGTGGCTTGGTAAGCAAGCTGGATGGGGTGTTTGGGACAAAAAGCAAGGGGAATTTCGTTTTTTCGGGCGAAAAGACAGAATTGGCGACGTTTTTTGGTCAACGTTTCGTTTTTTTGAAGATTTTTTAGTATTATGGTTTAGGGTCAAGAGAGACTTCGTAAAATTTTGGGAAAGTCAAGAAGGACTTCGTTTTTGCATTTTTCAAGAGCCACCTCGTGCCGAGCCCTATTCTCTTCCATTGCACAAAATCCTCTCCTCCTTTTGGTATATAGTTCATTGCCTCTGGAATGTGATCGCTGAATATTCTTTAGACACTGAATATTTATTGCTTTAGTGAAGATGATTCATGCTATGAGGGGCTTGGGAACAGGTTGCTGAGTTTCTAGATTATGAAAAATTACATTGTTGTAAACAAAGAAGCATATTTCATTGCGGTGCACGTGTCACTTCCTAGAAAAAAATGCAATTGAGTTCAAATTCAGATGGTATCTGAAACTTTTGCTGTAAATTAATATTATTGATTGACGCTGTATTTCACATTCTATTTCTTTTTAGAGTAGGTTTGTAATGTAGTCTGATATAACAATAATGAAAAAATGTTTTTACAAAACTAATAGAACCTTTGATTCAACTGGCTTGGCATCGGGAAGGCGGAGCTCCGTGACAGCTACGCACCTGCGTCTCTCTCGCGCTAGTGCTCTTTGATTATTACGTAACCTTAATAAGGTCACGAAGCCCCGCCTTCCCGAAGACAAGCCAGTTGAATCAAATGGTACCTTTACAAATTTCTGATGAATGTTGCACATAGTTATTATTTTCACCATTTGCTATTTACTTATATATTATTCGAATTTTTTTGAGTTCTCTCAGTTTCAACAATGCTGATCTAATTATTCTTCGAAAGATTTTATAGCTGTTTTATTAAGCCTAAAGTTTTTCTATAATAACTCCTCTATGTAAGCGCCTGAACATTTCCCGAGAAAACAACGATCAATAGAATTTTTCCCAAATTTGAGCCAATAAATTGAGATTCCCCTTAGTGCAAAATACATTTGCAAGAGGAACGACGACTGTTTCTGTTCCTTTTCGTTCGTAACGACAGCGATGTTCGCTGTTTGTCGTCCAGCTCAGGGTCTCCCAAGCGTCTTGTGTTCATTTTCGGAAACAAATCCATTTAGTACAAGACATTGCCGGTCCTGTCCACGCAAAGAAATCCGCCTACAATTCTACCTATGAAACCGTGTTTGACTCTGTTTTCATAGTGACTCATAGAAACTAAGTGCTTTTGGACTTTACACGCTAATCTTATCGAGGAAATTTGCAACGTTGATGATAGATTTACTCATGCCTAAAAATGGCATATCACACTCCCCCCCCCTCCCCACACACACATGGTGAGAAATTTATCCTGATCAAATGTAAAACCTTCCAAGCAGGTTTAGCCAGCTTCTTCTTGCTTCTCTAAGTATCCGGCCTAAGTTGGATCTACATATCTTTTTTGTAACGTTCACTACATCGCGCGCTACGCATAAATCAAATTCATAGCAATGACTAGTAGAAGGTGGAAAAGAGAGAAATGCAGGTTTTTCATTTGCGATGGCTGGAAATTTCGAAACTGTGCCATTAAATGGGTTTCCACTTATACGCAGAATTTTCAAGATCTTGGAAAAAGACCGACGCTTTTGCAAAAAGAATTTGAGTGCGAGAAAAGTTCATTTCAATCAATTTGCAATCAGTTTTCATTTCCTATTTAGATGGGAAATTTCAGCTTTAGCGTTATTCAATAAAAATACTATTCTATTCATACTCTATTTCCTTTAGATGATATTCATTAAAAGAGACCACTTAATAAACAAATATTTCATGAAGTTTATCAAACATTAGCCGTATTCTTCCCTCTCCCTTCCCTATTTTCAGCTGACCTAAACTACAAACTACAGAGCTAATAAGCATTATATTGAAATTGTGTACTGTATAATAATGCCAAACGGCATTATTATACAGTACACAATTTCAATAGAAACAAAAAAGAAGAGATAAGGATTATAAAATTGTTGTAAAACTAAATTAGTGAAAAAAAGTTCAACGCTGCATAAATAATCCTTGGAATTTAAGAGGAGATTAATCCCCTTTCAAGAAATACGGATTTTGACTGCAGGTTATAATTTTCTAACAACGCAATGATTTCCATTAGAAGCATAGCACTGAATTCTGGTTTGGAAGATTTGTCTTATTGTTAGAATTCACTTTACAGACTTTGCAGCAGCCCTCCAAATTCCGATCGTGATTCCTAACTTGCATGATAATGTGCCCTTTTCGTTGCATGTTGGTAGCACTATTCATAGGTTTGCAATATACGCAAAAAGTTCACAACTCGATAGCGTACAGAGGACATTTGGCAGTATGAGAGCATTATTGAGCATCCTAGCTTGAGAGTTCCAAATCAGATCAAAAATTAATTTTGAAACTATGGAGTGATTCTTCGTGATGCAGGGCGTTGAGGGAAGGTGCGTGAAAAACATTTTCTCTTCAATTTCGAGATATTATATAACTATGTTGAATTTCACTGCATTGGCTCAAAAGTATACATATGAGAGCGTTGACCTACTGACGAGAGGTACGCAGTCTTTCAAAAACAATTTGTCCAAAAAAGACTGAAAAGTCCAGCAAAAACTCGCAAATTATTATTCTAGAGCAGCCTTTTTAAAGCAACTCTCTATATTTCTATATTGTCCTGTAGGTTGTATCACCTGGGTTGAAGCGAACGAACCTCTCTCGACCCGTTTTCCTAGTTAAAAAGATTATATTTTGAAGAGAATATGTGTAGATTTTTCACTCTTTCTCGTATGCTAAAGCATAATATGTAGAAAGTAGTTTTCCAAGCACTTTTGTTGCTTGAGAAAAAGTCTAATATGATCGAAACAAAAGTGAACTAAATATCTTCTTTTTCAATTCTATAGAAACCCCTAAACAACGAATGAGGTGCAACAAGAAGAGACAAAGTTCTGTTAAGTGCTTGAAACCCATTATCACTCTGATTTGCCCCATAAAAGCGCTTTACCAAAGCACTTCACTCGCCCACCTTTTCGGGGGGGGGGGGGGGGGTCGAAGCAGGATGGGGGAAGCCGTAGTCAGAAGCAGTGCATTCCTGTCCACGGGAGGGGTGACACATCGAAGCCGACTTGTCACCATCGTATGATACATCGTGGACGATGGTGGCTGCACTTTTCCGAAATTGCTGCATTTTCTGCGCGCGCAAAAATTTACCCCTTAAAATTCGCGCGATCCTCACTAGCATGCGCGGGGAATTAGGTACATTTGCCCGTGCAGGGAGAGTGCACAACAACCTGAAGGGGGGGGGGGAATTCCATAAGGGGGAGAGGGCGTGGCGTGCGCGAGTGAGTGAACGGCGCGAAAAACCGCACGGGCGCGGAGAGAGAGAAAGTCGCCTCGTAGTCACCGCCGTTGTTACCGCGCGCGCGCATCGTTCCGTTCGTTCCGTCGCTGCGCGTTCCGTTGGGTTGCTGTCTCTCTGACCGTTCGCTACGCGTCCGTCGGTTCGCTCTCCACCCCCTTCGCCACCCCCCAATCGTCATCGAATTCAGCATCTACACTCGTCTCTGGTCGGTGTGTCTCTGTGTGTGTGTCATCACCACGCCGTGCATCTTGTCTTCTCTCGCTTAGCTTCACCGCTTTGAGTCGACGACGATGGCCAACCATGGACCAAGCTACGGCCTTAGTCGAGAGCTTGAGAAAAAGGTAACTTTTTCGTTCCTTTCATTACCTCCCTCCGAATTTATATTTTTGTAGGTGTTTTGAATTGTTGTAGGTACTGTAGCGATTCCGTAATATCACCGAAAAAGGGCTGAATTGAGTTTCTTCTTTTTCATCTTGTGATTGTAATCAAACTTTTCGTTTTTGCCATGTGAAAAAGATTTTTTTTGTACAGATTTTCAACATTTCATCCTATATTTGGTATGCGAGTATGCGTTGTTCACCTTTCTTGACTCATTTTCGTTACTCACAATCTCCATTAATGGTTCCAAAAATTTTCGAGGCAACTTTTTTCAGATGACGTTAGCCAGCCTTTCGAGAACGTTTTGAGATAATTTCAAAGCATCTGTAGCACTTCGTATGGATATTCTCACCGATATCCTCAAAGGCTCTCATTTATTTTTTTTCTCAAATATTTCTCGTCTTCTCTTACTTATGCTCTTATTATTCTTAACCCTTTTACTAAGTTCTTCTAGTTCAACTCATTTCCATCTTTCCTTTTTACCTTTACTTTTACCTGCGGACTACAAAAAAGTTTAGCAATTAATTCTCGAAAGTTTTGATTGCTTACACTCCCGCTTCGCTCTAATGATTCATATGAATAAAGCAAACACTAGGAAAACATTTTCCTCAAACATGACAAATTCCTAATTCCTTGAGAAATAATTTCAATTTTTCATTCTTCCTTTGAGATAACATTCTTCCCTCTCAGATACATTTGCCTTTAGGTTCATAGTTCATTTTCGGACTTTCCTGCACATGGACAAGAAAAAGGCTGAAAAATATGCCAGTGCGTCAAGAATTGGAGGAATTCTGGAATTGCTTAGCAGAATAAATTTAATGTGCAAATGACCGAGAGCAGAACCATTCAAAAACTTTCGTTGTACGACCAACCCTTCTTTTTACCTTTAACATAGATTTATACCCTCAATAACTTTGAACAAAGCAGTTTGGGAAAGTATCATAACTTTTCAGCACAAATTTTCTTGCTAATCTGACAGTTTTCCTCCTTTCACCACTTCTGCTTCAGAGAGTCTTACCTCCAACGTTTTCTCTTTAAACCCAGCCATGTGCTTTGCAAGCATACCGGTTCCTTCAGCTAGTCGTTTACCGGCCTTTTGTTCTCCACCTAATCTGACTTACACTCTTCACTTTTTCTGCTCGTAATTTCACCTAATGACGTTCCTTTTATCTTCTCTTTTGTTCGCATTCTCCCTTAAAAGTGCTTTGATGCATGCGTAGTAGCGGATGGGTTTGGTAGTGAAGATTGATTGTTACCTGTAAAAATAACGGCCTCAGATTCAGTGGTGAAAAATATTCAAGTATTATCAACTTTTTAAAAGATACCGCAAACTCAAGAAGTTATGTGTACTTGTCTTTATATCTGAAAGCACTTTGTCTTTTCTCAGATAGGTGCTCGAATAAATCAAATTTCATGTTTGGTTATGGAAATTTTTTGATTTTCCAAGAAAATTTAGCCTCTATCAGCGCCATCTTATCTCATCCGTCAGCATTATACAATCCTCTTCGTTTTTATTTCTTTAGAAGCTCTTTGTGGAATCCAATTTCGCTGGATCTCATGTCAAATTGAAAAAGCTGGTTCTGAAATTCTGTGAGGAGATCTGGGCTTGTCTATTAACAAATGCAGTTTTTTTCGTAGATATCGTTTTGACAAAACCTTGCATAATCTGAACACCTTTGATATCTCAGGACTACTTTTTGATAATAAGGTATATCTAAACCTAGAAAAGAGGGAGGAGGTATTGGGTGCAGTACTGCTTGCATAAAAAGAATGAAAATCTTTCCATCATATTTCCACCTTCTTGTAATCGGGTTTCTTTGAGAAAAAATTTGGATTTTTACCAACAATTTTCTTCACTTATTTTCTTTAAACTGTGATGTTTTCGCTGGAGTCACTTTTTCCGGTGCATTATTGAACGCAAAAACACAATTTTTACAATTAAATAGATAGGAATGGTTGCAAACCTAAGGTAACAACGGCTTGTTTCGGCTTTCTGCTTCTGTCCATCTTCTTCTCAAAGCCGCTACAGTGCTCTGTTTTTTGTGCTGCTAGCGAAGGGTTAAATCAAACCGCATGGGGTATTGACTCAAAAGCTCAGGAGACACGACTCTTTGTTGTTCGCCTTTGTGCAGTGCAGGTATCGTAAAATCTTCTTCAAGATTTGAAGTTTCGCATTCATTGTGAGCTTAGAGTGCTTAATATAGATTGGTTTGGGTGAGGGGGGGGCAAATTTGGGAGGTTGCAGTAAAGGAGGGATATTGATGGCAATTTCTGCTTTCGTTACTCAGCTAGCGTGTTTTGCTCTAGGTGAGACAACTATGGAAGCTCCAATATCAGAATTTTGTTTATTGTGCTTCGAAAGAACAAGTGTGCCAGGTGGATTCCGGTGGATAAATTTTAGCAGAAAGTGCCTAGCTTGATTCATTGTTTTAGACCCGTGCTACACATGGTGCATCACCGATCTTCCATCATTTTTGATTCCATCAGCGTTTTCCTTTCTATTGAAAATCATCACCAAATAGGCTCATTACTTCGTGTCGGGATCCGTGCTGCACACGATGCATCACCGAAGTGCGTCGTTTTTCTAGAATGCATTTTCTTTTTTTATAGATAGAAATCTATATCTACGTAGCGGCAGCCTCTTCCCCGGATGAAACTTTTTTACAAGGCTGATTTGAATTTTTGCAATTTTTCAAAAAATCTCCTTAATTATATACAAGAATAAACAAGTCACTTGCACACTTTTATGACCCATGTAAGCGAATTTCAAAAAATTTGCGTCGTTCCGTATTTCATTAGTTTTTTTTAATCTTACATCAAGCATTTCATACACTGGCTTGTTGCACCATTTCGAATTTGTGCTGATCATGTTACATCACCAAATTTAACTGCTCTTCTAAAATTGTTTTCGATCAGATTCAAGATGTTGCAAACCTGAATGCAGAGTGTAAGTACTTGTATGCCTCTTACCCCGAGTAGAGTACAAAAATGAGGAAAAGGAAAAACTGAAAAAAGGAAAAAAGAATGCATGAGGAAAAATTCGTATACCAGCATTTCCAATGGATTAGGATTCCAACATGTGTAGCATCACTGCTGCACGCGGTATAGCACGTCATCTTACCTTACTCTAGCTCCTTTCTGAAGAGTATCAAGAGGAATTTGAAAATTGAAGTTTCTCTTTTCCTTGCCCCAAAAAATGCTACTAATGCACCCACGTGCTCTCTCGCGCTACTCTTCTTTCGTTTCCGCTCAGCTGTACGTCTTTATTCGTGTCAATTTCGGGTGGCAGTTGCGTCAACCGATGGTCCGCGCACCCCCGTCAAGGACAACCTCTCCCCATTTCTTAGTCCATAGTGCATAGCCATACCAGCGACATATTGTCTGTTCGTGTGTGAATCCCTTGAAGAGGGGATCGATTCGACGGTGATCCTAATTCGGCGCCACTTTGATTGTTCGCTCGTACGCAAGTCGTATAGAGACACATATAGTTGAGAGCGGTTCTAAGCCGACGATTGCGTTCGGCTAAGAAGGATTTCGGTCCAGTGCTTGGTTCTGCATAATCACCCCCATTCAAAATGGCCATTGCGTTCAAACCCGTTCCAAAAGGACTTTGAAAGTTTCAACTCGAAAAGGCGCCTCAAATGCAGTAGTTAGCCGTCGATATTTTGGTGGAAGAATTTACTGGGAAAATCTTCAATGCCTCAAACAAAGGTTTTACATCTTCGTCTTCCACCATAATGTCTGCTTAAAGGCAGCGGCTCGGCAGATTGACCTACCTCAGATTTTGACACAGATGGATAGCAGGCCCTCCAAGTGAATCAAAACAGCAACTCCGCGGAGAAAATGTGAACTCTGCAAGCCAGGGGGGCGGCCCAAGGGCCGCTCCCCTTCCTCCTTTCGCTCCCCTAACACCTTGTTCGGACGAGTATTCTCCGCTAGACGGCGCGGGACCCCCCAACCGCTTCCCCGCATTGTGCATGCTATACAAAGCCAAAATTACAGGCAGCAGGGTTTTCGTGCCAGGGCCTCCCGACTTTTTTTTTGAAATTCTTGTCCGAGCTGCCTTTTGGAAATTAAAAAAACTCCCCAAAAAGGCCTTTTCACCCCTTTTAAAGCTCAGATTCGGGATCCACGGGTCGAGGAGGCCCAAAACGTGCAAAAAGATGGAAATGCAAAATCTGCCGAGACGCTGCCCTTAAAGGCACCGTCCACCCAAGTTGGGGTTGGTGAGATTATGATACCTAGCAGATGCGGGGCCCCCAATTGTATGATTGCCCAACTCGCGCTGCCTGAAGTTGCTTCCGAACCGAGAAAGTTGCTCCGGAAATCGCTTCAGGCCGCCTTCGCGACGCTGGCTCCTCCCCTTTCGGAGTGGGCGTGACGTTCGTCCCGCCCATTTATACGCGCCCAACCAATCACCGTACCGAAGAAATCGCTCTGCGGGTTCTGAAACAGGGGTTTTTCGTGGTTTTCGCGGATTTTCAACTTGATATTCGGAATCAGGGGTATGAGAAGGCCCTGGAACGGCAAAAACATGGAGGTCGAAATTTTGGGTGGACGCTGCCTTTAAATCTCACTTTACTTCTTATAATTATTTGGGCACGTTGATTACTGGAGCAATTCCAGCATTTCCGTTCGAGAGAGAGAGGGGGGGGGGGGGCGACAACTTTTTTCGATGGAGGTGGATTTCCAATTTGTTCCAGGCTTATGACCCCAAAAATTTTAGAAAACTTTTTTAACGAAGCTAACATCAATTTGAAGAACAAGAATTATTTGGAGATCCTTTGCACATTTTTATAACTCATGTAAGTAATTTTTAAAAATTTCTGCGACCTATTCTCGAGAGGAGAGGGGAGGGGGGGGGAGAGATTGGTGATTGTACATTAATTCTCAAATCGGAAAAAAATTGCGCCTCAGTTCTCTTATACCTGGTAACCGCGGTAATTTCTGCAGGAACGAGGTTTGCAGAGCGCCGCGTACGTAGATCTGCTTAGAATGACTGATTTTATAATTTAGTAAAGGAACATACTGGTTTTTCCACAAATTTCTCAGTCTCTCTCTTACTGTGCTCTTTTTTCAAAGTTTTGCGGAAAGTCCCTATTTTTTACGCCCCTAGATCACTCTAGGGTGTCCCACGGGTTCCAGGAAATCACTCTTGGGTACGAAAGTGAGTGTTTTTGTGTACGAATTTGGTATTACGAACATTCAACAGATTATCATTACTTGAAATGTCTAACATTTGCAAAATCCCCAAGAAGAGTCGGACACTTTCAACTTCATTTAAATCTTTATTTCAGAAAAATTTTTTTGTACTGTCTTGCGGGACTTTTCAAATGGCCCTTCCGAATTCTCGGAAACGAAAACGTTGTTATCGAATACTGTACGAGAATTATGATCGTATAATAACATCTCATGATTTTATCTTTTATAATATTTCATCAAAGAAACTTCAGCGCTAACACTATTTAGGGGGAGGGGTAATTCTAGCTTAGAAAAAACGAACACTCGAAAGCTTATAAACTTACTCGAAATGGTAAAAGATCAGTAATTGATGTCCATTTGTCTAGTTCAAGATCAGAAACTCTTCATTATTTCAGACACCCCTTGTACACTAATTTAGTCCTTCACTGTTTCTGCCCCTCTCACTTCAGTAGTGGCAGAAGAACTGTGGAGTTCTTTTTTTGTAGCAAATTACAGAGTTGCACAGAATTGCTACAAAGTATAGGAATTGCAAACTAAAGGATTTAAAAGAACGCCTCCAATAATTTTTTTCATCAGCGCTCACTTCAAATTGCTATCTACATCCTAACCCATGCTTCTTAACCATCAGAAATTGATTAATCCTTTGCCAGATTTGATGGAAAGCTCTTTTGGCCAAGAAACGAAATACATGCAAACAAACTCGTGCTACTCCAACTAAAAGAAATTTTCATTCTCGACGATCAGATGTTCGATGTAGACATTTCAATAATTGTCACAAAAAATAACGTTTCTCGTAACTAATAGCTATCTCGTATAGTCCTAACTCAGACCCCAGCACGAGGTGGCATATGAGAAATTCAAAAACGAAGCCCCCTTGACTTTGCAATAAATACGAGGTACCTTTTCTAGTACTTGTAGAGATAGGTAGAGCTTGATCTGAAGAATGGATTCATGTGAAGAAAAAAATTGAAACTATGTGTGAGAAAGAGCGAGCTTTGAATATTCATGCTTTTGCCTGGTCCCGCGCAACCTCAGAGTGCTTCCTTGTTGCGCGGGAGCCTTTGAACCTAAAATCAAAAACACAACTCTTCGTTCACATATTCCTATAGAAATTTTCGTACTTTTCTTTTGATCATCTCCGCGGATGTACACGCCAAATTTGATGGCTCATTGTCTACTCGTTGTAAACAAACGATTGTTTATATTTTTGTGTGTAAGATTGTGTTTTGACACGTTGAAAACGCGTGCACACAGGTTTAGGCTTTAGTCGCATTTGTAACGTGTTAATTAATCTGTAACTGGTAAAATCACATTAGATTTTCAAGTTTGTGCTTGCTAGAAGGTGAAGTTGTGCTTGTCTAATATTTCGTCAGGCATGCGGGTGGAAATTTTACGGGTTTTCCTTCGCTTTCCCATCAAAACGACACCCAGCTTGTGAAAGCGCACCTCTGCTGAGCCCTGTCCTTGCTTGAACTTGCCGCACATTCTCTGAGTGACTTGTTTTTTGATTGAGAAAATTCTAGAACATCAAACACCTCAGTTTAGGAAGGCAGTAATACAAAAAGATTGTTTGAGTACGATATAGATGACTAGACACTAGACGATTATTTTCTAAAAGTCTGATGCAAAATTTTTGCTTTCTGAGAACTTGGAGAGGTTGTAAACTTTCTTCGCGCAAATTTTTTTCTATGAGAATGCTTCATAAACACATCTTTGAAATTCTACAATTGCTCTGTCATGTCGATTTTTTATAGAGTTGAGATCATTAAAATTCCTGTCGTTGGCGAACTCATCGATGGTGTCCAAAACAGAGTTCGTCTTTTCTTTCATAAGAAACCGAAGACAGATTTCTGATTTTATTGGAATTGCACCTGGTAATAAACTTCTTCGAAACTGCGCACTAGCAACTATCACAAAAGTTCAAAAAATAGTTTGTATACTTTCGAGATGAAAGGGGATTTCTGTAATGTTTTTTGCTTAGAAAATCAGTCGTTCAGCGTTTTTGTGCTTTTTTTTGTTACTTTACTCTCGAACAAGATTCCTCTTACTTAAATTACTTTACTCTCGAACAAAATTCCTCTTACTTAAACGATTTACTCGACAAATTGAATCAAATTAGATGAATTGTAAAAAAGCAAAACTAGTTTAGCTAAACTTGTAATTAGAAGTGCCTTGTTTTTGCAAAACCTCCTTTAGTAACTTATAAAAGAAAAATGACTCTCCAACTTTGGTAATCAGGCCTATGCTGCACTGCAACTCATTTATCAGTTAATAAGGAAACTTATATGTTTCTGGAGCAGAGCCAAATCATTTACAACAAGAATTAGCAGCGGTTCGCAGTCCACGGAATAAAAAAAATTAGCATTTACTTAGACATCAGAGTTATGGAGCGTGATTTTAGAAATGCGAGCATAAGCTGCGGCGTTAAGCTTTGCTTAACACTCAATTTTCGCGCTGGGGAATTTCCCTATTTAGCCAGTGATTGGACCTAATTATGTGTCATGAAAACATTCATACAATAACTCCTGTTCGTAAAAATTGCTAGATGTGCTGACTTATCTCGAGCGCATTCTTACAGAAATTCAACAGGTATGCGTGTTCGAGTCATTGACATCAGTTCGACCACTGCTTCTACCGAAAGTCATTTTTTCCCAGTCAGTTCCTGACCACTAGCTTATTCGCGTTATTTCAATTCTCTAATGTGCTTTGCATAATGTCCACAGATATGTTGAAAATCCGGATTCGGAACCAGGCGCAACAACGTCTTCGCGCCATTTATCTCCATATCCAGGGCAAAGTGATAGCGTGATTTGCATGCACATCCTCCAACAATAAGACTGCAATACATCATATACGTTGGAATGTCCAACATAAATTTTGGAAGTGTGGATGATTCGAAACGGACTTTGACTAATCCTTAACTGCGGTAAATTCAAATTATCTAAAAAAATATCTCGTGTTTCGTTATTTATTTTCACTGAATGCATTCCATTATGCGCCTCTAATGTTAAAGTGAAAACATCAAATTAAAAAGAACAGACTATCAAAACTAGCGTCTCCAGCGGTTAAAACGAAAAAGAAATTTTAAGTCACGATATGACAGTTTCAAGAGTACCACTTTCAAGCAATGAAAAAAAGCAAAACGAGGTTCTTTTTGGAAGTTGTTTAGAGCCGGAAAACAGAAAGGACGATTAAATATCTATTCTTCTCCAACTCTTCTGCAGCAATATTAGGAAAGAGAAATTTCCAAAAAATTATCAAATCCCCTTGCAACGCATCAATTGTTACGTAAATTCATGGTAATGAGGGATAATCGTGCTAGGTGTTTGCAAGAAACACTTTTTCAAACACCTTTTTCGACAAATTTTTTGAGAACTTTTGACCTTTGCTTCATAACGATGTTATTTTTGTTGTTCTGCTTGGCATCTTATTCATTTCCTTCACTTTACAAACTGTCTTTTTTGAACGGACTATATACAGCGTTGGCTGGATTATTTAGGAGTTTTGTCAGTTCAATTTGCAAAGACTTACTGTCTACTGTCTGTCTACTTTGTCCAGAAATTTCTGGAAGATCGGGTCCTAAAGGCATCATGTAGCAGATTGCCAAAACGAAAATTTATGCAAGTGATACTATGACACGATATATACTGTGCTTTTCTGCACATTCATATCAGTCATGACCAGTTATGGAAAACATAACACAGCAAACACAATGTGGATTTTTCTTCCCACAGTCTACATTTCTTCACAAGTTTCTTTATATCTGCTTTTGATTTATTACAGATATAAGCACAAAGCGCACAAAGTCAATAATTTGAAAAGCTTATAAAATCTGTAAGATGCGAAGAACTATGTTTCTTCCATTAACTAAGCCCTCCGTTGAAAGATTTCACTCTTTCCACAACTTTTGTGTTAGGTTGAACCGAAAGTTTGTTCGTGCAATTTTCAAAAAATCCCAACTTCTTTCTATCAAGACGATTCTGCTCAAATTAACATTTAATACAAAGCGTAAAGCATATGCTTTCTAATAGTTGTCTTTTGGCTTTCGGCTAGGTTCAAATTGCAGAGATAAAAATGGAAGAAGGAATTTTTCCGAAGTCCGGCAATTTGAGACAAGCTTGAAGAACCAAAAACTGCGCAGTAAAATTCACAACAGCACTAGCCTTAAAATTCTACCGTCCTTCATCTAACTGAGCAAAGTTTGTGCTGATCGAGCAAACCTTTGAAAAGTTATGATATTAGACAAAAAAATGTCTAAAAATCACTTTTCCTAAGAGAATGATTTCTCGGCACTTTTCTCGACAATCATAACTTTTCGAATGAGAGCTCAATCAGCACAAACTTTGGTAAGTTAGAAAGAAGAGGTCAGAAAACTAAGGATAAGAGCCGTTTTGAATTTTACTGCGCAGTTTTTGAATTTTTAACGAGCTTGCCTCAAATCGCCGAATTTCATATAATTTCCCTCTTCCATTTTTATCTCTGCATTCTAAATCTAGTTGAGAGCACAGGCAACTATTGCAAAATACTTGCTTTACACTTTCTAATGTAATTTAATTTAAGCAGCAAATCGTCTTGATAGAAAGAAATTAGGATTATATGAAGATTTTGCGAACTTTCGGTTTAACCCAATACTTTGCTAAAACAGAACAAGCCTGAAATGGGGAAAAGTGTTTACGGAACATTGAACATAACGTTTTTCTTTCAGAACCAGGCCCGATTCAGTCTTGAGGAAGCGATAGAAGTACTGTTATGGGTTGAAAACGTTACTGGACTGCCATATGCAAATGATCCGAGCAAATGTCAATCAGCAGCCGATGTAGCAGAACTTCTCAAAGACGGAGTTCACCTATGCAAGTAAGAGTTAGGGTTACAATTTTGATGGAAGACTGGATTGTCTGAGAAACAAATAAGTACTATTGCATGCAACTTTTGTAGGAGGCTCTTATGAACAGACGAAGAGAGTGGGTAAAAAAATCATAACATTTAGTTAGATCATTAGCGATAGATTATTTTGATTAATAAAAAGTAAAATGGGAGGGAGGGAAAGAGGGGAAACACTTCTAAAATGAGCCTTGTTGGACGCCAAAATCAAACGTGATTGCTCGCCTTCAACCATGTGGGGAAGGGGAGGAGAGGGAGAGATTTGTTATTTTTCATTATCCTATCTATACTTTTTTACTTGATCTCGTCGAGGATTTCTTTACCGCAGTATACACTGAATATTCTTGAGTTCACTTGATTGGTAGTGAAAATACGAAATCCCCTTATGAGTGAGCTTGCGCTTTTCGAATATGTTGAGAAACCGTAAGTTTAAAATTTCAATTTTCATTCAACTATACTGAGACCTTTTTATCAAATATTTTTAAGGCTCGAACGATTTTAACCCTCTAAACAAGTGACTATGCAATAATCGCAGCGTCTTCTCTAGCTCATTCGAACTCTCTCAGCATTTTATTCTTCCTTAAATCTACCCAGATCCAGCAGCATCCTGCTTTCTGCACCAAATCGGTATTTTGATCATGCAATCGCCTTTCCATAGCGGCTAATTCATCAGCTGCTTCTTCGAAATCGAAGCAAGCAAGCAAGTCGCTAATGCGATGATCAGGATGACAACAACTAGTTTCCTTGCGCCATATTGGGATGATGCACTTATGATGTTGATGCATATGTGAAATTCAAGAAGGGTTAGACATACGACTTCTTCTTGCAGTGCATGAAATGCTTGCGCCTTTTGCTAACAGAAGGTTCTTATGCTTGCCGAATGGATTCAAATGTAATATTATTTTATTGAAAAACAAATATTCAACTGAATGTCACTAATGCAAGATCAAAGCGTTCGCTGCCTTAATCATTTCTCCTCTGCCCAGTTTTTCCTAGCGATGAAATCGCGCCGCTTCAGTGACCATTTCAAAAATCCTATAAGCTTACCTACGCCTTTTCTTTTCTTTTCCTCTATTTTCCGTAGGGTGCGGGAACATTTACCCTCAAATATGCCTCCTAAAATACCCCCCCCCCCTCTTGAAGAGTAGACTGGAACACGTTATTTGAAACGACTCCTTCCATCCATTCAAGCAACTGATCGCAGCCAGGATTTTCGATCATCGACAATGCCTGCCAGCTTTAATTTGCGAATTTGGATTATGAGTAGACCAATAGTAGGATCAAGTTCAAATTAAGGTGGTGTGTAGCGCATAACATCTTCTTAATTATTGTATACTTATCATAGATCAGTGACTTAGAATGTTGGCTTGCTAAGAAGATTTTTATATAAGTCGAATGGCATGGAAATAAAACGACTAATTTGATCTTTTCCTTTCATTAACCATAACCTTGCTGGAAAATTTCAACCCTAATAAAATGTAAGTACAACAATGATTAAGAATATAAGATCGCGCTTTGTCTACAAATTTTTTTGAGTCAGTGGGCGATTGTCCAAAATTTCGATGCCACGTTTTTTGGTCGTATCCTGTTGCGAAGCAAAAGTTTTTCTATCAAATATGAATCCACAATTCACTCCTCTCCTAGTTCACTTGGAAACCGACTATTTTCAGTAAGCTCACAGTTACTATACATTCCTTGAGTAGTGAAAGAACCCCCAAATTCTCTTTGAAATCAAAGATTATTTTGTAATTCTTCATATCTACTTGTAGCACTATCAATAGGGACCCGTCGACGGAAAATGCAGAATTTTGAACCAGTTTTCATGAAATGCTGCAATCTATTCTTATCTTCGGAATGGTGTTAAATGCACCACGAAAAGCCACGAATCACTTTAATTTTCAAACTTTATCCTGAGGATCAGTACTTTTTCCGCTGCAGTGGGTATTTTTCAAATTGTGCATCCGTTTCTCTTCCCCTTTGTTTGTCTTCAAGATCTTCTTTTGACTATTTTTGAAAGTTGAGTAATTGGTGTTAGAAAATGCTTGAAACAAATCCCGGCAAGCCTTTGTTCAACCAGTAGCAAAGATTTGATCAAAGTATCGCACAGCTTGGTACCAGACTTTATGACATTTTTACAAGAACCTGCCGAGATGTAAGCAGAAATCATAGGAGGGTTGTTTACATATTTATTTTCATTTTCATTCAATACGCTTAAGGCGTTCCTATCGAAAGAAAAATGTTAGTATCACAATAAATGCAGCTAAAACAAAATATCATGAAGCATATACTTGCTGAAGCAGTGTGAAAAGCAACATCATGCCTTTTCTGTAATTTCTTTTCAATTCTGCTTAAATAATATACAACTTGAAAAAACAAAGAACGAGTTTTTGAAAAAATCAACTTTCCTTTTCCAATTGTAAGTTTGAATGTGACATTTGAATGCGTCAAACCAAAGAAAGTTACAATCACGTTTATAATTGGCTCAGATATTTGAAAAGGAAGTTGAACATTCCAGACTGATCAACAGACTCCTTGACAATGGCAGCCGAGCGCCGTTCAACCCGAAACCGAGAATGCCCTTCCAAAAGGTTACTTCTGAATCTGCATTATTGATTTCAAACCAACTCAACATATCGCTTACAGATGGAAAACATCTCAAATTTCCTAGAAGCCTGCAAAGCATACGGAGTTGCCGAGATCAGCTGCTTTCAAACCGTAGATCTATATGAGAATAAACAATGCTATAAAGTGATAGAATGCCTACGTTCCCTTGCCGCTGTGGTGCGTTCCTAACAGTTTTTTTTTGATATTTCTAGTCAGAATCACTTTAGGCTCAAGCTCGTGGAGCTGATGTGGAATTTCCACCCTGGGTAGTTCGACTATCCCATAGTCGTCCTCGACAGTTCCCGGAATCAGTAATGCGACGAGGTGAAATGGTCATCCCCCTACAGGTAGGATAACATGATGACAGATGTTATGATTATCACTATATCTTTTCCATTTTCGCAACACAAAATTTTCTTGTATAAATACCAATTGGTAGATCTCAATTGAACCAATGTCCAATTGGTTACGCATATGGTTGACTTGTGGCCAAGAAAATCCACTCTGAACTCATGCCCAATACAGTGCTCTTCCTGCGCAGACAATAGCTTGATACGGTACTGGGCGAGAGTTCACAGGATGATTTCTCGGTCACGAGTGAACCATATGAGCTGCCGTTTAGACAGCGGCTTAGTTAGCACTTGCCAAACAGTATGCGCATAAGAAGTTTATTGGTTTTATTGTGAAGTAACTATGACAATGATCAAGTTACCTATAAAGTATAGTAGAAATTTTTATTTGTTCTTATCAAAAACGGCCAACTATACGAGAACTATCTTGATAGGACGTGATTTCAGTATGGAACAAACAAATGCGCCAGCCAAAAGGGAATGACACCGTATGGACTAGCTCGTCAAATAAAACCTGATCCATCTGGTTGATAACTTCCACAATCTTCTATGAATTATGATTATGGATTCAATTGTGCACATATGCCATTCGAATAAAATTCATTTATTTATTACATTGTTAATTCTAATACCCTCAAGGCAGAATTTGTATAGATACACATCACTACTATTTACTACTCTATTTCTCATCTGATGAACGGGGTAGATTGAAGGAGGGGGTGCGATACAGCACTGAACACAACACAATCTAGACAAGAATGAAGAAAAGCGCTAACTGACGGAATTTCGAGTATGCTCCTGCCCTTATTAGGAACAGATCTTTTCGTTTTGTAATCGCACATCCTGGACATGTAATAAGATAACAAAAGAATGAAAAAAAAACAACTACGCAAAAAAAGAAAACAATAAGTTGCTTCGAAAAATGGCTTTTCCTGTCCAAAGAGAAATCAAAATCAAAACCACGCAAGAGGTTCGAGTAGCACTATTAACAAATAAACCGACCCATACATAATAAATCGAATCACAAACGCAGAATTATGAAATACACATTGTAAAAACAGCAATCAACCGTACGTTGCTAGTGGAAAAGGAAGGGAGGAAAAAAGTTCAAAACACATCGACATCTACAAGTAATCACTGAGGATAACACCTTTGTTTGGGTTTTTTATCTATAATATTCAACAATGCACATGAAGAATGAGTACACAGGGAAGCACTTCGCCGGAATATGAATAGCATGTTTGTGTGTTCCGCCGCAGTTTTTGTGCAGTACAACATGTATGAGATAACTCTTTACCAGTAGCACGTTAACATTAATCCTTAGGGTAAAAATGTCTAATAACCAACTAAATATAAGCAGATGATGGTTTTTGGAACACGTTTAACTGAGGCTTCTATGAAGTAAAATAAAAAACAAGAAATCGGCGACTAACTACCGAGTACAGGTATGTCAAATAGAGATGGCCAAAGTGCATGCCGTGAAACAGAGACAGACGTAAAAACAAGAGTGGAGCAGTAGAGTGCGGACAAGGAAGAGGAAAGATGACTGACCGGTGTCGAATACGCGAACGTTCACCTGAAGACCGAACAAAATCCGTCGCGTCGTTAAGATCAACAAGAAAAACTGAAAGGCAACCATGAACAGATGTAAAAAACACAAAATCCAGCCTCCTAGGTATGACTCTTACCTTATTTTGGAACTACTCGGAAATCAGTGGACATGAGTGCACCTTGAAGCGAAGAATTAGAAATACTGCTGCCGTTTGAACTAGATGGACTGGCTGAAGAAGCGGATCCTGCTAAATAACTGCTTCCTCTAATGACCCGTGGCGAGTCCGCAGTCGTTGAATCCGGCAGTGAATCGCGAATCTGGAAAAAAAAGCAAATTAATGAACATTCTGGGCAAAGCTTGTATTCTTTGCGATTTATAACTCATGACTATAGAGTTTCAAAACAGCTGGATTGAAACCTCGCTGTACTTAGCGTATGACTCAATTCTTTTTACCATCCGATGCGATTTTCGTGAAAATTTCAACGCAAAGGAATAACGCCTATGCCAAGCAAGGGAAAGGAGAAACTACAGAAAAAGATTTTGAAAGATCAATGTTTTCGGTAGGATTTCTTCGTCCGATGGTTCCTTCCTCCGCCTTGAGAGGATTGTGTACGAGTTTCATTACATTTTTCGCAGCTTATGAAGCAGAATCGAGTACCCTTGTATCTTCTACCAAGTACCAGTATATATTGCAAAATTCGTGAAAATCAGGGAAACCCTTTCCCAAAGTTCATTTGGATAAGCGCAGAAGAGCGCAATGGCCCAATTGTGCCATCACGTTGGCTGCGTTCATACTGTTCCAGAAGTTCCGGCACAGTCCCCACCACTCGAACCGTGCCGCAGCGCCGCGCCCTCCCACATACGGTATTGGGCTAGAAGAGAAGCAATTTTTGACCGTTTTCAACATTATCCACTGCGTATTTTGCACATCTCTCGCAATTCGCTTCATTTTATGATTCAAAATTTCCAAACTTGGAGCGAGGAGATTCGGGAATGAACACTATTTCGTTCTAAGTGTCAATGAACTATTTGAAATTACCAATTCCATTCTTGTACATTACTCCAAATTTGAAGTTTTCTCACCAAAACGGAAAAAGTAACAAAGGACGAAGGGCCAAGCTGTAATTTGTCAGAAAATGGGGCTGAAAGCCCGAAAATCGCTGAAAGCAGGCAGAGATGCGAAACGCAGTTTATGCGGCGAATGTGCTTGCCATTCTTAAACTGGTAGAGACCGTCAAATAGGCAGACGGGTCTAAAGGAACTGATGCTACTTGAATTTTACTGAGTTTCAAGCCAAATTCTCTTGTATCGTCGATTCGTTGACAGCATGGACTGCTTAAAGGCAGCGTACACCCAAAATCTAAGTTGCCTAATTTTCTGGATTTTTCTACACCGTGTATATGCTGGGCCCAGAAGAAGACCAACTGCGTTGGTCCGGTCTCCCAATGTTGCTTCTGAGCGGAGAAAACCCCCCTCAATTTTTTTTCACGCCGCCCCTTTTCTTTCGCTCCGCCTCCTCCGGACGAATCCATAACAGCGTAAGCTGCAATTGCAGTTGCAGTTGCTGTTGCAACATCTGTTGCATTTGTTTTGGGTGTACGCTGCCTTTAAACGTCGCGGACCACGCGCGGCGCGGCTGAATCGTTGTGAGAGCATGATCGTACAATGGCGAACTTGTCTGGGGCAAGCGTTTCACCTCGCGGCGCGTGCTCCGCAGTGGTGTCCATTCCATGCGGTAAAGAATCGACCAAGGCAATCTTTGCGGAACACATCAACTGGTATTCACTGTCACTGGGCGGAAAAGCGCTTTGCTGGGGCAATACTTGTTGCGTTTGCTATAATAAATAGGGCTATCAATTGCAGTGTCGGGTGCACCAGCATGCCCGCGCGCGACTCTGCACCTCTTCTGCGAACATGCTCAGTGATCATTTGCATTTATTGAGGCTCCGCCTCTCCCACGCTCGCGGTGGGAAAGTGATCAGAAAGCAGTTCGCGAAAGAGGTGCAGAGTCCCGCGCGGAAGCGGAGACGCTGGTGCACCCGACATTGCAATTGATAAGCTCTGTACAGAAGCTACGTGACTATGCATATTGAGAGCTGCGCACGGTGAATCCGTAAGGATCTGGCTAAATGCCAAATCGCGGAGTCTCAGCGATTTGTCGTAATCGCTGGAGGCATGCCTTGGGCCTTAGGTATAAACATTTGGGTGGATACAGAGTTGAAGGCAGCGTCTCATTACAGTTCAGACTGCGCCGATTTCCACATATTTTACTAAGCCCCTAAATAGGCCAGCGCAATAAGTCCGACCTGAGTTGGCCCTCCTACGCTTAAGAAAATGCGCTCAAGGTGGTTCGCACTGAACGATTTGGTCCGCACGGACGACTTCTCCGAATTCTCCCAGATGTTCAACACGTCCTTCCACACGCGCTCACCTTCTCAATGCTGCTGCCACTGTGGCGAAGCCTGGAATGAGACAGCACAACTCGACCGCGTTGCCTTGGTGGGGCCAAAACGGGGTTCAAAGCAATTTATGCGTTTGAATTGCGTAAGGTTTAATGGGATCGCAAAGACTTCTGATATGCAGAAGTCTTAGCAAATTTTAGAGAGACATTACCTTCGAACTCTTAATGATTGTTGTATATTTACGAACCATGAAGATTCGATTTCAAGCTGCCCTTTCAAATCTTATCGAAACCAAAATATGATTCTCATTCCCAAAAAAACAAAAGAGCAAGAAGGAAGTCACAAAGCGATAAATGCAATACTATATTTGAGAGAGGAGGTGAGAGAATGTGGGTGGAGCTCTTTCCCGGCGAGAGATAATGCAGACTGTCATGCGTGACTAGTTGTTCAACTGCCCATATTGCTATTAAAATCGCGAAGATTTGCTATTTTTTTTGACAAGGTCCCCACACGTGGCTAGTGGTGGCAACAATCCAAGGTTCTCCGCACATGGTACGGTGCAGCACAATGCGAACTGTGCCTGATGCTGCACTTCATTTCATTTAGTGCGATTGCGCTGACTCCAGCTATTCTGGGATGTGCAGGTGCACTGCGATTCTAATTTTGGAAAGTATTGAAATCCGGCAGTGTCTGTTCTGATTCTAATCGAATTTGCGCCTGAACTAATAAGCTGCGATTTCAGGCAAAATTGTTACTTTTCGTACGATGCGAGCGACTATCCATACTAAATACGAACGAGTAAATGCCCTACGTGGACGCCCTACTATTAAAAGGCGGAGCTTGCCACTTCTCAAATACCATGTTTGTCGTTGAGCAAAAATCACGCAGCAGCGCATGTATAAACTGCGTGTAGTTTATGTATCATCGGCTTCCACATTCGTGTGGAGGTGGAGTCTTGCCAACTCCAGCGTGGCGGTTTTTGCTAGCGAGAGAGTACGAAAAGCAATGCCATAACGTGGAGGTTCAAACAAGTATACCCTTGTTATCAGGAAAAGTCTGCAAATACACCTCCACACAAACCTGGGAGCCGACCATACATGAGTGATGGAATTGCGCAAGTGACTTGTTTCAATAATTGCGATAATTTTGGTGCGGCCACCTTCTTCTAGAATTTCTGGATTATAGAACCGCAAAATTTCCGGAGAAGAAAAAATGCTTCCGTTTTGGCTACTATAATGCTAATGTAATGAAATTTTTATACTAATTTTTAGCGCTTGCTTTCGCTACAGAACAATGTGCCTCATGTCCCACTTAGTAAGCACACTAAAGCAGAAAACAGTCAAAAAGTAATGATCCAGACCCTTCGTGCCAACTTGATACTTCAAAAGACTACTGACGCCGGAGTATGTAATTCATTGTTAGGTTGACCGTGCAAAAGTGAAAAATCATAGATATAAAAAAAATTTCTTGTCAGTCCGAAACTTTACTAGTATAAATCAGGATAGACCAAAGTCAAGCATGATATCTAGCACGGACTATATGGATATCATCGGCTCCACGATCTATGTAGAGGCGGAGTCGTGGCAGCTCGAAGCGTGGTGGTCTTTGATAGCGAAAGAGTACGAAATACAATGTTAGAATGTGGAGGTTTGATAAATTCATCTTCAGAGGGGAAGTCCACGACCCGCCTCCACACCAACCTTCAAGCCAATCATAAGAGGCCAGCTAAACCAGTATTTAGGCCATAACTCACGAGGAAACCTGGTCGAAAGCACCAGTCCAGATGAGACATAGATCATCTTAAAGAGCTTGAAACGCTGGTTCCAAATCTGTGGTAAATAGCTGTGGAGCGGTTTTGTAGAAGGAGTTATGAGGTGTGTTTCCCTCTGAGGTTGAGGCGCTCTCCAGCAAATCTCCCCTTATCTATGAGCACTGTAGAGGAGTACCAACTGGTAGCAACTAGCCTAGTGGTGAGTGACTTGCTTGATAAGGAGAGTATCAAGGTTTCAAACCCCTTCGCATGCAACTTTATCGCAATTTGGAGCGTCTAAATGGCTTTGAAGCCCTAAAGCCTGGAAGTTCTGATGACATCGATGCTAATTGAAGTTAGAAGTGTTGAAAAACCAAAGTAATATGAGTATTATAATCCTTATTGTGATCTTTATTCATATTACTTACCACTAGGCTAGTTGCCACCAGTTGGTACTCCCAGTGCTCATAGATAAGAATAGACCTGCTGGACCTCTCATCCCCAGAGAGAAACCCCCCCTCATAACTCCTTCTACAAAACCGTTCCGCAGATAGAGACTGTAGATTTGGAATCAGCGTTTCAAGCGCTTTGAGACGACATATGTCCCTCTGGAATGCTGCTTTCGACTAAGTTAAGTTTCCTCTCCCTGTCAGCTATTTTATTCTTGACCAAGGCCCGCACCGTGCGGTTTCCTCAAGTAACCAACGCCCTCAAAAACGTCGTCCAAAAGGGCGTATCGTTATAACGTGTGGGCTGCCAACTGGAAAACGTCGCGCGCGACAGGCTGCCAGTGACCGCACTCGGATAATTCAGCCAGCATGATCCGCAGCACATAGTTCAGTTCCTCATCCTTTGTTGAGGTTCACATACTATTCTCATATTAGTTTTACTTGATTATTCGAAGTTCTGCTGCAAAAGTTGTAAAATGAGCTCTTTAAAGGGCAAAAAAGACACAAAATTGAAGAAGGTAAAAAACTAACAATATAGAAGAAACATTGGTAACCTAGTGGTATAAATCTGACAAGTTTCTGCACTGCTGCTTCCCGCGCGCGGTTACTGTAACGCCGCGTTGCGAGTTTTCCATTTGGCAGCCCGCACGTGACGAGCGCCCCCACGTCGTCCAATTAGGAGCATACGCTCGGCGACCGCTCTGCCGCGCACGCCGCGCTAAAAGGCAGCGTCCAGGCAAATCTGGACATGTGGGGATCCACGTGGATAGAAATTTTGGGGCCCTAACTAAGCTACTGCCCAACCGGCAGCTGAGGTAGTGTAACGGCTGAGAGATTCCCCTCGAAACTGGACCCCAGGATCGTATTTCGCATGGATTCATGCCGCCACCCATCAGTTTCGCGTGGGTCCTCGCGCGAAACTAATGAGTTGCGCCGTGATTCCAAAATACGACCTGAGGTCCAGTTTGGAGGCGTATATCTCATCCGCTAGTGCGCTGCACCTGCGCTGCCGCTCGGGCAGTGCCTTAGTTAGGGTCCCAAATTTACTTTCCACGTAAAATTCCCATAGGTCCAAATGCCTGGACGCTGCTAAATTTTGTGCCCGACAGATATTCTTCGCTGCTTTATTCACCCTAAGCAAAAACAGGGACCTAGGCGTAGGGGTGATAGATGACTCGACCATTAGTAACGCAGTGCCAGAAGTGCTGCCGTCTGTAGTGATTTACGTCACGGTGCGGCATTGCTTCGCAAAAAATCCGCCAGTCCTGCCTCCTGATCGTTCGACTCGATATTATACAGTTGCCAATTGAGCAATGATTCAGTCAAGATTTCCCACTTATTTTCAAAAAAGGCTCAGGTATCCAAACTTGCCTGGACAGTGCCACTAATCTTGGTATGGTTACCGCTGATAAAACGGTGAGTTGCCCTGTATCCCATCGCAAAAGTTTCATAAGTCTTTTTTTTTTCGCTAAACAAGCCCATTCGTCGCTTTCTGATACGTTCGTTTCGGACATACATTATTCTGATACAAACCTTACGCGTGCTCCGATCTCATCGCATGCACATCGTACAATCCTTATCATAGAAATAAAAAAAAGGATAAAAAAGGCGCGCAGGATAGAAGAAAAAAAAAGCCCGACTGCAAAAACAATCAGAATCGAAACAGCCGGCAAGATATTCAGATCTATTCTATCTACCAGCCTCAACATATTCAAAAAATAACTAATTTCACCTAGGGACGCACCGCCACTTCGATGGTGGTAGAATCCACGGTGGGAGATGTAGCTGTGGGAGTTTGTGATACTGTCAATGCATTTGTAGGAGGAGCCGAAAGCGATAGCACACCCGTGAGCGAATTTGAACTGCTGAACTCAGTTTCATTAACGATGCATTAGCAAGACAGAATCTCAACAAAAAGAACTGGACTCACTTGCTAGCGACGCTATCCGGCCTAGCTGGAACACTTGCAATTACGTTGAACGGCGCATGTAAAGAGTTTCCTGTCGAACTTGGAGACCGCGAATTTGAATCATTGAGGAATTGAAGAAACTGACTTGACACTATAAGCAATAAATGAAGTAAAAAAATCGAGAGAAGTGATGGAGATATACTGAAATGCTCACATATGCCATCGTTGCTATTCCCATTGCTGGCGATCACGTTGAGTAGAGTGTTGCATTCATCTTCGGGTCCATTCGAGTTCATTGCAGTCCGAACAGAAACGCCTCCAGTTAACATTGAGGTCGGAATCGGAGTCACTCTCGGGGTTGTTAGGGGTGAAGCCACGACAGAACTACATGCCGAAAGCGCTTGCTGAAATAGGAGTATACTGCAAACGATACCGGACAAAAATAAGTGAGTAATTCTTCAAAACGTTTGAACTGTGGTAACTATCTGCAAAATCCTTGCAATTTCAGCACATCAGATTCCACGTTTGGTGGCAGAAATATTTCAATTACTTTTTTGAAAGTCGACAAAAAGTCAGAAAATGCTGCGAAGAAAGTCAACGAGATTAATTGCAATTCAGCATCAAAATGTTCGCTGCCAAAAAACATGTCTTCCATAGGTCAAACAGAAAATATCGAGTACTTGGGGAAACAACTCGAAAGCCCCAAAGAGGGAAACCCAGAGGAAACAATCTTTTTAACATATTTCTTGTCAAACTTTGTTTGCGGTTCTGCAGAACCGACTGGACCTTTGCAAAGCAACCTCCGCCAACCATGCCAGGTTCTGCTATATAGCAGAAGCGTAAGAGGACATCAGGCTCAGATTAAATTTGAGTTAACTCATTCACAGTAATCCCTGTACCAATCCATCCATCTCAAGGGACCACAAAGCTTCACTAGCTTCTTCGCTCACAGAAGCGAAAAAAGTAAAAACAGGTTTTCATCTGGTGCTGGTGACTTGCTCTTGCCTTGATCATCACGTTTTACGTATGGCATTCTACAGACTACTGCCAAACAAAAGCGCAAATGAGACGCAAACGCGGTTTCAATGGGCGCGGAGCGCTTGAGGCACGCGCCATACTCGTTCCACTTGATCCGTACATGGACTTCGCCAATGGTCAAATCAGTGAACCGACAAATAGCAATGTGGATGAAATGGATCAAGCGGATCAAGTATGGTGCGTGCTTGAGGCGCAGGATTTACAAAAAAATGAAATGTGGGCCGCGTTGCGTCCGCTCAAATCATAATGCTTTTACATCTTAGTCCGGCAGCAGCCTTTACATATGGGGGTTTCGCGCTAAGTGCAACTTTCTGTGCCTGCGATGCGCGCGTGGCCCCATCGCGAGAATCGCCATGACCTCCTGGCTGGGAAGCCTATTCGATGATTAAACCGGCAAGTAAGTAAAAAAAAGGTGAGGTCACTTTACGTTCCCCGGCCGAACATGAGCTGCCCTTCGAAACATATAAGGCACGGTCGACTATGCATAACAAAGCGCTCCGCGCCAGTGTTATTGCAAACAAAAGTCCAACAAACAGAAGCTTTGGAGCGTGAGAGCTGTAGCCCTCGACGAACATCGCAAATAATGAACTCTGCGACTGCCAGCCTGCAGCAGTACCAAAAAATTAAAGTAGACTTGATAAGCCTAAACTCTATACAGGTAGCACATCTCTCGATAGTTCAGCACATAAGCAGTGGTCAGATATTGAATTTGAAATAGTCATACAAATTATGTGAAAGGTTTCCTTAATTTGATCAAGCTAGGTTATGCAATGCGCACCTCATTTTACTCTAATTCTGCTGGAAGACAAAGGCGGGACGATACTGATTATTTGCGGAAGACAAGGGTTCCTCTTCTCGGTCAGGATGATCCCAAACAGCGAGTAGACTGCAATTCTTGCAAGCCATGTTGCGCAGAGAGAGAGAGAGAAACGCGTTTTTATGTCGACTACATCTTGCAAAATGATTTTGTGATGTGTACGAAAAGGCGTTGCACTTGACCATGAAAGTAAAAAAGGTCATAACACCGAAGCTTTCAAAACACTTCATATGAAAACAAACCTATATTCGCTACGTACAAAGCATTCTTCTGGAAAAGATTACCAAAGTTTCTACCCTCTGATTCAAGGTACTGGCGGCTGAGGGCGGTGCTGCTTGGGCTCCGCACCTCTTTCGTGAGCGTGCTTTCTAAGCGTGCTTTTCCATCCAAGCGTGGGAAAGGGGAGCTCCAATCACTAGAGAGCACGATCGCGAATCGAGGTGCAAAGTCAGGCGAGGCGACAGCGCAGACTTGAGCCCCACCCACCAGTCGCCAATGCGGTTGAATCTGAGGGTAGATGACAAATTGCATTTTTGCAGAGGGTCAAAATAGGTATTGCAGGAGTTTTTTTTTGCTTTTTTGTTAACGAAATTCAAAAGATAGTGTAAATTCGAAGGTTTCTAGTCATTGATGTTGCTTCGCAAAAAAAGCGGCAACTTGGCTAGCACTGACATTTCGACTATGGAGTTCCACATGACTGCCTTTGAATGATCACCTGATCGTTTTGCACATAACAAATTTAGAATGAAATCAGCTTCTCAAGCTGACAAGAAAAGGCCATGGTGACCTCGGGTCCTTCCTTCGCAGGAGGAAGAAAAAAAGCAGCTAAATTCTACTCTGAACGCAGGCGCAGGAGCACAATTAATTTAGCAAGGGCGAACGTAGCGCGCGCTTATCTTCACGTAAACCCTGCGTCAAATGATCTTTGCGGCTAACAAAGCCGCGTTCACGACCCTAGGTTTTGCGCTATTGCTCAGCAGTAAATCTTAGCTCTGAGTGGATATACTATAGCGAAACTGCAAGATTCTGACACGTTGTCTCATCTGGATTACATATGAGGAATGAGATGGAAGAGCAAGAACATGAGCCAAATTGGTGCAAAAACTTCCAAGCAAAACGAAGAAGTACTCCATAAGACAAGCAAAGAAGCAACTTTGGTACTGACCTGCATTTCATAAGCTTTCTTCATAGTGGCAACGGGATTGATCGCTTTTGGAGCTATGAGCTTCTGCAAAGAAACATCAATCAAACCCGTAATTTGACAAAGTTCACAAGAAAAATATACCGCTGATTGTTCAGGTTTAGTAACAAAGGTGCGAATAGGCTGTGGAGCAAGGACTTCACTAGTGATATTTGATTCACTAACAGCATCATGTCGAGATTTTCCACTTGAGTACTGTGTTTCGACTTGTTCAAGCACTTTGCTAAAAAGGGAAAAATCATTGAAACGAAATCCAAATTAGCTTATTTCATAACACATGCAGCATATGTGGCAGAGCCTAATTTCAAGATGTGTGTAACACCATCGAAATTATAAGTTGACAAAAATTCGATAAATTAAGACATTAGTTACCGATACTATTACACAAGGGGAGCTAATGACAAAAGAAAGCACATTCATGCTCATAGTAAAATAAGAGACAAATACATGAATATCATATAAGTCATACAAGTCATTCTTGGGCATAATGAATCCACGTTTGCTTGCTCCCAACGCCAATGTCAAGCAGTTTATGGGAAACATTATGACCAAGAGCTAATGACTTGCAAGTTGTTTTCATGTACAAAGCATAGGAAGTGTTAAAACGGGAGTATTCAAAATCAGCGCTATTTCTTTGAAGCACAAATTTGCACTGGTATATAACCTCACCTGAAACTTATCGTAGTGCCATTAGCGGTCGTGAATTTAGTTGGACTTGCCAGATAAGCAGTGCCGTTTCCCTCCAATCGCCGCAGCTGCGATACAACAGCATGAGGCGGTGAAGTGTCATTGTCTGCAACCTTCCTTTTTTTGAAACTCAAAGACACGTAAAAGGAAAATTACCGGCTCCTGAACCCGCAAGTCGTGTGAGACCATTGAGTGTTGCTTGAGTGATAGCATTCGGATTACCGGCATGAGTGTTCACGGAATGGATACGTTTTCGACTTGAAACCATTGGTGCCCGACTCTGATAAACAGCTGTAGACATTAGATCACCTCGACCAAGTGGAGAGAGCCCAGACAATGCAGCAGCTAATGTTTGTGCTAAACAGACAGTAACTTCGTTAATAGAAACAAACTATTGTCAGTTTGAAACTCGTACGTTGTGAGTAAGCACCAGACGATACACCATTTCTTTCCAATTGCTGGAAGCCTCCTGCAGTCCGTGTAGATCCGCGGGAGTCAACGACTACCACACCAAGCTGCTGCTCGTCGCCTCCCACACTTGCTAAAGTGACCCTGCGGACATTTGGCGAACCGGCAAGTAGATTACTCCTTGCACTCCTAAACACATGACTTAAAAATATGAACACTAATTCCGATCGAAATTTCAAGAGATAAACTTGTACTTATATTACAGAAGAGGTTACGAAACAAAGATGGACCATACCCATTGCTGGCACGAGCTGGCACGAGAGAATTTTCAAAACAAGACCCCCTTGACTTTCGCCAAGTTTTGCAAAGTTCCCTTGACCCTAAACCCTAAACGTACCCTCCCCCCCCCCCCCCAAAAAAAGAAGCGTCGACTGATTAAAGAACGTCGTAATTATTGTGTCTTTTAGGCGATATTCAGCTTGCCCTCATCCAGCTGATGCCAGGCCCTGACTATACCGAAGGAGAAATTGAGATATGCTAACACTGCTTAATTGCATTAACGAGCCGAAGATAACACATTTTAATACCACTCAAAAACACCAAGTCAAAGCTCTGGGAGGAAAAGCGCCCTCCAAATTTCTCGGATGTGGGAATTATGAAGGGAAAGGTAAAGCAAACATGGTTGGAAGTGAGGTGCATGAATTTGAGCAAGAAAAGCACTGAGAACAACAATTACTTACCCTGATTGCACAATCTTCACAAATCGATTCCCATCCCGTTGCTGTACGATACGATGTGCTTTCCTAAATCAGGATAATCACTAACTAAAACTGGGAACGGCGACCTCAAACAAACTCGATAAATTCGGTCCGCCGAGTCGACTCTGCCGCGGTAACGTCTTCTCCAATCATGCCACCATTCCATCCGCTCTCCGTTGCTCGTTCCACAATTCGCCTCACCTCCTCGTTCGTGCTGCTCGTGGCAGAATCTCGTGACGCATGACGGCTCCTTTTCTCATTCGGTTCATCCTAGAAATACGACATGAAGCAGTGAGCAGATTGAAAATTCCCAGTACCTCGTTCTCTGCCCCAGTATATCCGATAAGTGACTGTTTCGTATCATTATTTACACCAACTGTAACCACAGCGCCCACTTGAGGAATGGAGTTCGATGATCGCAGTGTTCCTGAGGTTGTACCCGGTAAATGGCCTGAAATAAAACGGTTGAGAGAAAATCGTAGCTAAATACGAGGAAATCGAATCTGCAATAGAAACAGCCGTTACATTCTGATTCCGCGAGTGCTTTAATAGCTGCCATCGCGCTAGGAGGTGGAGAAGATGGGAGACTCCCATCAAGAGGTGAATTATTCGAAGAAAGAGCCGAGATCCACGACGATGTGTCGTTTTTTCGAATGGTTTGCATCACAGGTCGTCCGTTTGTTAGGGAAGAACAAGTTACGATTGAAGCTGGAAAGTAAACTATGCGATTGAACTCTACTACACGAAGATGACCACTTACGCTTTGTTAATGTTTTCAATTCAAAAGCTGAGAAGACGCCGGTACCCCAGATACCTTCCGGACCCATATCGTTCATCAAAATATCTACTAAAAAATATTTTTTGAAAATATTTTTTGGGTTGAAACACAGGGATAACATGTTTCAATCAGTGTAAAAGGGGATGGCAGCCGACATAAGAATGTTTTATCGAAGATCAACTCGAGCCGGTTCAAATAACAAGGAAAGCTATTTTCTTTTACACGTTACGATAATCAGCTCCTATACTTTTCATGATCCAGACTGCAGTACTTTGGATATGTTTAACGCGTAAGAATCGCTTGACGCAAGAATTCTTGAACTTTATCAAGCCTTCCCTTATCCGTCTTCGACACAAATGATTCACTGTTATTTCAGGAGACTGTACTGCTGCCGGAAAAATGTGACTTATAGCGCCTACGAGTGCAACACTGCCAAAAGCAGTGCAATTCTCTAAAGCAAGAACAATGACACATGCTCAAATACAGTTGGTTCCAAATACACACATTGTGGGAGTAAAGATAGCTGATTTATTGATGAAAGTCGCTACCACTTCAACAAAAACAACTGAAGTGTCCAGCTTTCAAAGAAGAATATGATCCAATTACTGATAATTATATTCATATTCGTACACCTATACCTACCTTTCTGCTTTTCTTCTGGTTTTTCTTCTCGCACATTCTTTTCGTTTGGATTGCCGGTGCGGATAAAGTTTGCAAGAAACAAATCCAATTCACGCACGGCTATGGAAATGTGATAAGGATTCACACAGACAGCGGGAAAGACACACTCAGCACATTTCTCCAAACGCTCACTGTCTGTGCTTTCAAGTGGGATGCCCTGAAAAAATCGATGGTTTCATAAGTCCGCAGTTTTTGGTAACGATAAACACATCGTAGTATACTGACATATTAGACCCCTCCTCAACAAAGACACACCCTACAGAAGATACGGTTGGTCTAGAATGGCCTTCTTACCTTGAAAAGGATGACCATGACCAAATCTAACCGCCACACTTTATCGGCTTGCCTCAGACAATCGATACGTCGCATTTTTCCTTTTTGGTCCGGATTAGAAAGAACACATACAGCGGGCTGTTGGCCAGTCACCTAAAAGTCAATACGTTGTCAATTACTTAGTTCACTCTTGTTTATATCAAGCAAACCGATGAGACGAAGTCGTCGCGATACTGAGGTTGAATATCTTTCCTAAGTTTTCCAAGCAATCGCGCTGCCCATTTCTGCTTCAGTTCAGCGCGTTCATTCTGTAATGCTTGCATATACAGCGAAAATTATAAATAATCAAGCGAACAACTTCTACTACACATAACCACACATATCGGAAAAGTGACATTGAGCATCTGTGAATTAAACGAAGTCAAATTACAGATATTCAAAAGAAAAATAACTTCAAACTTTTGAAAAAAAAATCACTATTCTGTAACCCGAAAGGAATAGAACACACCATCAACTCGTCTTTGACGCCAGTCTCTTCCTCAAGTGTCATTCGTTTCTCATGTCTTTTGAAGTACCGCCGTTTTGCAGCTTGCAAGTTAAACCACACATATGAGAAATCCTTTACATACGGCAGCAACGCTTCCACAAAAGGGTGATATTCATCCTGCAAAAAAAGCAGAAGATACATGGAGGAATCCAACTTCTAGTAGTAGCAAAACTCACAACACCACTGGGACTGAATTGATTCGTCCAATCAGCCGATGGTGGTGGCATAGAATTGCGTTGAAGTTGTTTCACCGCTGGTACAACGCCAACCTCCCGGCCTGGGGAGCCGTCGATGTCCACCTAAACGAGGGTGACACTTAAAGGAAAGGGTATTTCGAGAACAGAATAAAAAGGGATAAAAGAGTTATATGAGCCATTCCTTCAGTCACTCGAGTGCTGACAACTCGTGGAAAAATAATACTGATTAAGGAGATTGAACAATGCTGTAAGAGTTTGTCCACTCCTGATTATATATGAAAAAGAGCACTTTTGTGTGATGATTTCATTGAGTCATACAATACTGAATTTTTCTTCGCACTCCATAATCTCTACATCAGACAGCACTAATTCCATGATTCCATTGATATAAAACAGCAAAACACGCGGAAAAAGCCCTCCCGTAGTGCCATCCACCTCCAAATATTATCCCTTGTTAAAAAGGAACTCCAGATAAAACTGAACGCTTACAAAGCATACATCAAACTATGTGACCTTGGCTAATAGTGCAGAGGACGAAGCAGCGACTGGAGATGAACAGTTTTCTTACAGTCAATTACTGACAGATTCGATTGATGGAATTTTGTCAATCAAGGTTTCTTGAACTGTTTGAGGGGCTGTATCAAAAAACTGCTCTTCACAAGGATTGCTAGGTTGCGGCAATGGAGCCAATCTGCCGTTATTGTGCAGACACCTGATGGCTAAGGGATAGCTGGCTCCATCTGTACAGTACATTCAGCAATTCTCACACATGAAGAAACAGCTTTGCGGCATTTCAACAATCTTTGAAGCATATATTCAGATTGGAAAACCTGGAAGGTCCAAATTTAATGATGTTCCGGCATCAAAGAAAAAAGCCAAACTCCACTTTTCTATCATGAGTATCAATGAAATTAAGAAAGCTGCATCTTATTACGCTATAGTTGCGGAAACCCGCGCGCCGGCACATTTTCGGCACCGGAAGGCGCAATATGCTCCGCAAGTGAGTTCCTAGCTCGTTTCACGCTTTCATAAATCCCCGTCAAAATTGGCCCTATAATTCGTAAAAGCAAGAAAGATGCAAACAAGCGTTAAAAAATGAAAAGCGCAAAGCGGGTGTGTGGGCAAAATAGTCACGGCTACGCGCGGCACAAACTGAAAAATTGCGGCATCCAGCCTGGCTGTGTCGGCGATTCAAAAATATAGAGAAACGAGAAGCATTTCATTTTCACCAATATCACTAAATCGTTATATGCAAAAATCCTTGGCAGTTTCTTGACACATACACGGCTAAGGGATCGAAACCGCACAGCGTTACCTTAATTGTCAATTGGATACACGACGCTTAAGCCAGAAAAGCTGGTACATAGTCAGTTGGTATAGGCGATTCATAGCCCGCAAAGAGAGGGCTATCGGCTTCTCTCTGATCAAGCGCACTTTCGTTTTTCTTACCATCTGCTGTCTCTTCCGTGAACAACTTATCTTGGTCGGACGCAACGGCGCTCACTCTTTGCGTGTCATGAATCGCCTGTACGCCAGAAACTATGCCCTTCAAACGATTCAAAGCTTACCCTTGCTATCTGCTAGGTGGTCCTGATTATGAGGTAAAAGATACACATTTTTTCTCAAATCCTGCATCATTAAGGATAAATGAGATCATCAGTGCCAATAACTGAACTTGGTTTATATTTTATCCAATGACCAACACTACGTTGAGTGCGACTGCAAACTCTGATCATCTGCTCCAACTCCTAGCGTAAATTCACAAAATATTATAAAGGACTCTCAGAAGAGATGTTTACATCTCAAGTCATTCCTAGGCCAATTAATAGTATAGACGCGTAAAGTGGGACCACCATCGTCCTAGTGTAAAACTACGCGCGAGCGAGCAGTCTTTGTAGACCGGGCCTTCAGAGCTGATAGACTGTTCACAAGAAAAGTTGGAGCGTCTAGTCAAGTGTTTCAGCACGGTTTTTTACCATCAAACAGTGGATGATAGCGTGGAATAACATAGAAACAGGAAAAAGTGCTCATTTTCCTGGTACATTCTGTTATTGCTTGGATAACCAACTATTCTAAACGCAATCCAATGGTGTGAGGGCACAACATGGATTCCCAATTTGGCATCCAGCCTATACATCCACCGACTGTTCGTCGTTATTATGAATCTTTTTTTTTGTCCCACGAGCAAAGCACACAGGCTGCACTATTTTTTGAAAGAAGCTCGATAGCTGATAATATTATGGTTCTTCAAACAAAATGTGATTTCTTCAGTACTTTCGAGAGAAAGAGTGGACAAAGTTCAATGCTCCATCAATTCACTTCGCTGAACGGTCTACTTGCCGGCGATAACAACTGCGTAGAACTGCAATTCCCACTTTTTAGTATAGAAATCAGACAATCCCTAACAATCTGTGTAGAACATGAACCATCAAAACACGATGCCGATTTCGTGTGGCCTTCGCCACAACTTATCGATTGTTACTTCTATCCTTCAAACGATACGAATGTGACACCAGTGTCAGTTGACATGTACTAAAGGTAAAGTCACTTACATTACTTCAAAAACTCAATGTTCAAGTAAAAAACGACATCGATTGGCAGCTAAAGATTTTGGTATAGAAATGTAAACAGTATATTAGAACTTGTATATTGCATGAGAGGTGAGCACACAGCTTACAACTGACCTCTAGATGCCGATCCATCGAAGAGCTGAATGGCTGACGTTGTGAAATCCACGCAGAACACAGGCGCTGTCAATGCTGCGGTTCAATTTCGAAGAGCAGGGCGTCAAATTATCATCTGAATCATTGCAAATAAAATGATTTCTGCGATAATAATCCGCAAAGATAATGGCGATATTGAACTGTTTACAGAAACAAAGCTCTTCCCCTATTGGCTTAGTTTCTTGAAAGAAAAACGCATCAATAAGCATGACTATAAAAAAATTGACCCTAGTCGCTTTCAGAAGTATATCCCGAAGTTGGCGCCAGAATGTCTGCAGCAAATAAATCAACTGGAAATGTAGAAGGCGTTGCAGTATTTCAATGATTTGTACCCGGGGCGGCGCAGCTCATCTCTGCAAGAGGCAGTCAACCCAACTCGTACGCACGTAAGAAGCGTGGCGAACACAAACCATAGGCATCTGCGGACGCTAATATGGAACATTTTATTCAACGGCAAAATATTGTAAGCGGCCAGCAAAAACAATCGATAACAGCAAATGTTTGTTTTGCAACGGTCGAATAGGCGTAAATAAGACCGCAATCCGATGGTTTTGCAGCTTTCTTGGGTTAAATTCGGAAATTTTTGCTGAATAAGTCGAACCACCTGCACAAGCGGGTCTGTTTACTTCAAGAAACCAAAGCTCAGCTTTTGATCTACCCTGGTCCCGATGTGACAAAGGCGCTGAATAGGGAAATCGATGCAGCGCTACACCACCGAGCAAGATAGAGACACTGAGACCATCGCTTTACTCCGTTTCTTAACAGCCACCAAGAACCCCGATAACTTGTGAAGAATACAGTGAATTTGGGGACGAGCCAAGAAAAATTGGCAAAATGTCAGGATTTTCGCAAATCCTGCGAATCTAACGATATTGTAAATGTAGCAGCGAATTCGAACTGGAGCGAGTTTGGATCAGGTGAAGCAATTTCTAATTTTTACTTACAAAATTTTTGACCGAATTTTCACAAAAATAATTAATTTAAAGGCGGCTCGCCTATTGCTTGCTTCAGCTGCTGCTATCACCAAAGTTTCAGCTCTCAGCTGCGCGCTATTCACCTTGGGGAATCGCGTTGCTATGTTCTCGCACAATGGGTTCGTACGTTCATGCACTTCTCTGTTTATAGTAAGAACTTTTGAGCCACAAGTCTAATTAGCGTATGAAAAGCATTATTTAAGATGACTAGTTGTAGTTGAGTGGCTGATCGCACAAATTTGTCAATAATATCCCATTCTTTCGTCATTTCTTGCTCGGCCAAGTCGTTTTGATCCGAAGCCCTTCGGCAAAGAATTCAATCTTGTCTATCAATCACTTAGTCCAAGATTTTCAAGGAACTATTGATTTGAGTCAAAATTGCTAATAAATTTCGAATAACGAATAATGATATAAGTTCTAAAGTGTAATGCTAGTATAATGTATTATTTGCATGTTGCGTAATCTCAGTTAATGCTTCTGAGATAAAAATTTTTTCTCAAAAATCAACAGTCTCAGAAATGCGGCTGACATCAACTCCTGAATCGGCAGTGACAATTAGAGGAAGCAAGTGATGGCTTCAGCCTTATGAGATTTCTGGAGTCAACATTGTACCGTAGCACCGGCCACATCGTATTTTACATCCTTTTATGGTTTGCTAGCTAAAGGTTTTGTAGCAAGTCTTTCGCTCTTTTTATTTTAGTTTATTCGGTTTTTAGTCTACTATTCGACAGGGTCACATGCTTTGGAAACCCTGATTACTTGCAACTTTTGCTAAAGATTCAAGAGAATCTTGGCTGAAATTAGAATATTCGGGGCGGAAGTCGATTTCCTTAATATTTTTCTAACAAGTTTATCCGTTTTTACTAATAAAGTTTTGTTCGACAAACTTGATGACAGCAACCCGGCTTCAAACTTGTGTGGGTACTGTTATTGCTTATGCTCTGAGCCTCTGCGAAAGAAACTATATAGTCGAAATTGGAATTTCTCCTCCTCGGGTCTCCAATTTGAAGCTCAAAAATTTCTCTACATCTTCATATTTAAGAATGAGAAGCAATGATAACCATAGAGCAGAGTAAAAGCACAGCCCTCAGAAGCACAAGCACACTTTACTAAACAAATTTACATGGTTCCTGACTAAATCACGCGTGGAAACACAGCACCACTAATCATAAATGAAGAATTTTGGACCTTTTACAGTTTCATAAAGAAAGGCCAATAATTTTTCTGAATTTGATGTGAATGATCAATTTTGTTCGTGTTTTAAATTCTATACAAGTTTCACCACTCAAAAGAGTATAAAAAAATATTGTCGAGATCAACTTTGACCTTGATCAAGAATTCTATAGTTGGAGTTTCCAATAAAAGATAGAGACATACTTTTACTTTATGTGGAAGGTTTCTGTTTTTTTCTTGAGCTCTTGTTGAACCTGTACATCACTCAGTTTTCTATCCCATTTAGCACTATTGCACACACTTGTTCTGATTTTAGACACCTTAAGAGGTCCCTACCTCAGTGGTTGTAAGCAATAATGAGTTAGACAAAACTTATGATAGCTGAAAAAATTTGAGAATGGTTTGTAAGGTAGTCATTTTGACGTGCACAACTTCACGGTATTTGCGAAATTCGTAAGGCTTGAGTCGAAAATGCAGTTTTGAACGGAGAAGTTACAACGCATTGTCTGCTCAACCTTTCAAAACCTTTGCAGAAATTTAGTCTAAAATGATTGATGCAGGATTCTATGTTAGAGGAAAAAAGAGCTTATTTGCTTAACTGGTGTAGGTAACTTCGTTATCACTTAAAAACTGGCCTAGTCACAGCTGTTAACGAAAAAACTGATAAAATTCGCAAAAGCATTATTTGGAAAGATTCAAAAGCCTAGGGTTTAGATACAAGCTCTTACAGTGACCACTGTTTTCATAGTGTGTGCTCTCTCACGCTCGACTAAGAAATGATTTCTGTCCATACTTGGTCAGCCAAATTCAACAGCCTAAGAGTTTCAAATCATTAGATGCATCAAACTAGTAATATTTCAACAACAGATGAAGAATATTATACGAGATCCGCTATTTATTGCTAAATTCAAAAGTCAAATATATGATTCTTTCTGCATTAATGATAGCCGTGGTGGTGGTTGTGGCTTCGGCAGCATTGGAGTCAGCTCTCGAATCAATGGGTCAGTAAACTCCTTCGTACGGTCAATGTTAGATGGGCGACAAACACTGACATCTAAAATCCAGATTATTAAATACCACTGTATCAAAACTATCAAAAAAAATCAATACGACAAATTTATGCTAGTTTGGAGAACCACTGCATTGGTTTTTTAGCATCTGACAATGAGTCTCAAAGTTTACCACTTCCACTCACTGACCCACCATTACGGTAAAGTAATAGTTGAGCACGAATCCATCTTTTTACATTACAGGTACTTGAAAATTTTCAAAGGTTATTTTTGAAAAAGCATGATATTACTAAACTTCTTGCTCCTCCCCTCATCGCCAAAATTATTAACCAAAATTGATCGCGGAAAATTGGCTGAAATTACTACAGACACCAAACTGCACTTTTTCCTTCCCCATGCTTACCTGCAGCGTAACTATTCATCTTTGCGATGCGTTCGCTTCTTAATTCCTTGAATACCCGTCGGGCAACATTCCATGCAAGAATTTTGAGAACGAGAACAATGACAGAAACTCCAAGAATAATGGAGCCATACTTGATAGCTGAAATAGCAATATCCACTTCAAATAGATTCACCTCAGAAAAAAGCCCCCTCCAGGGAATTACATACCCTTCTTTGTCTCCGGATTTGTTTCATTTGGATCCACATAATGTTCACTAGTGATATCATGACTGATGGCTGTCCTGTCGGATTGCGGACCTCCTAGCCATTCTAACGACCATAAGAAGCCAGATGTCACGGCGGTAATACTGGCGTAAACCCATATCAATATCCAGAATATTGTTACTGTCTAGGAAATCAGCCATTAATGTGAGCATAAACCAGCAGCGCTTTGAAAAATACAAATTTCTTATCAGCCCCAAGAAACTGGTCATGATTTATTTAGCTGTGTAACTTTGAATTTACAAACAGAAATATATCTGCTTGGAGCGGATATTCAAAAAAAGAAATAGTACAAAAGCGGTTTTGATTTTGAAGAGATCACCAAAAATAGCACAATCTGCGCATTTTACTGAACGTATTAAAAAGGTGCATAACTTTGACATGAATTGAGTAGGAGAGAGGCTAAATCTTCGAATCTATCATTTTGGTTTGAAAAAGTCAATTGCAAAAATATAATCCAAAAGCGCTTCCTCAACTCTTCGAGGAAAATTCATCGCGCATAATGATGAGGAAAGTCAGTTTCGCCACGACGAGTTTCAAAAATTTGCTGCACTTTTTATCTGCAGATTTTTTGAGAACTTCAGGATATTATTAGATTTGTTTGAATTTTGCTACACTTAACAGAAAGAAATTTTCAATTTTCCCATCTACAGATTATGTAGAGGGTTGTGGGTTCTCGATATATACATATATATCATAAATGAAAATTCGATTACTGAATTTTCGGAATTTTTCAAATCATTTTTGGCAACTAATTTGCCTTATCGAGCCAACTTCCGAACCTCCTTCATATAACTACTGATGCTTTCGGAAGTCCATGAAAATTAGTTGAAAAAAGGAATGGGAGGATATTATCAAAAATAGAAAAAAGTTGAAGTTTAAAGTGTCGTTAAAAAATTGCCTTTACATTCAATCTGACTCATGTTTCAGAGTAAAAAAAAGAAGTAAAAAACGATGTCAATGGGTAGCCCTTTGTCTCTTCCCCATACATGCCAAATATGAGAATTTGCCGAATTTTCTATAGCGTTCCAGAGGAAGGAAGTGTAACAGAACTTATGCAACAACCTCCAAAATGATGAAAGACTCATAAAGAGTGATTATATATGCCTCTAGTTAAAGAATAACTCTAGTAAAAGCAGTATAAGGAAAAATGCGAGATAAAAAGAAGACGTTCGATAACAGTGCTTTTGAACAGCAACTATGCAGTGTGATCAGATGAAGGAATAATTATGTACCTCATAGATGAGAATGGGCAGAACGAATATATTATTAACCTTCTTCCAGCAGAATGAATACGTAGCAAGCGAAAATATAGCAAATATCAGAAAAGCGAAGTTAACGAATACCGGCACTAAAATAAATCATTTTATAGCAAGCGATTGCCACAATGCAACAAAATTTCTAAAAACCAAGATTGTTAAACCGACACCATGTTGGAGAATAAATTATCGAGCATATGGAGACGATCAGTAATAATTTAGTTATAGCACTCTCAAAGACGACCATACATCGCGAAGCAGTCTGCGAATATAAGATACTGATTTGTAATGTTTTTAATTGAACCATACCTTTATGGAAATTCCGCAAACTTTCATGTGTTATGGAGACCAGCAAGTTTCAAGTGACTAATCGAAGTTCTTATCAAAGCGCCGCATATTCATAGAGATCGAAGAACTCTCTCAAAGATAAACAACGTTAGCAAACACAATGCTGCTAACGCCGTGCTATTAGCACACACGCGAACTGTTCTAATCGGGGATAAAAAAAATTTCCTCAACAACAGATTCCTCATGACGACAGAGATAAATACATCGTAAATTGCTTGACTTTCGCAGATAAAATATTTTTAGTTTCCACTCCCACATACCATATCATCACCTGCTAGGTACGTCCTGGATGCGCTATTGTGCAGATGAACAGTTTAGAAAACCCTAAACCATTGACCGTCAGCTCGTACGACTCACTCTTATGGCCGAGAAATTCAACTCCAAACCTTCGCCCAGACCGTAACCGGAGCGAGTAGATCTATCAGTGTATCGTACATGGTGGCCACGAAAGATTACAATGTGGAAAGATTTTAGTCGAATTCCTCGTTCAGGATGAGTCGTAATAACTTGCGGTTGAGCAATGACATGGTAAGTTTCAGTTCGTGATTATTTTCGACCAAGAACATGTATTCAGATTTGTTTGGACATCACTTCGAACATCATTCAGTCTGTCAAGTGCCTTCAACATTTTAGTTGTCAAAATGCGCATGCTTTGTGACACAAGGCTGAACAAAATTGCAAACGCTGGTTTGAGCTCGCTCAAAAAATTAGCGTTTGAACCCGATGATGACAAAAATTTATGCATAACCATATATTTGTAACAACAGAGAACAATAACAACCTCGATTCTTCAACCAAAAACCAAATTAAAACAGTAGAACCATTTAGTACCAGTAGTCAAGACAAAAGTAATTGTTCAGCATATTTCGCAATGAAAAGTGCGGCGGAAACGTGAACATTCAAGCTGCGAGTTTGTCCAAGCTGTTCGATCTCCACAGTTTGATCAACACTTCGCAACAACCGCACCGGTACGCCTTCCTTCTCGTCACCAAGCAGTAGTACAGTCTTGAATAACAAGCAAAATGTCTCAGTTCAGTGAAAGCAATTTAGAGTCACAAATCTAACCTTTAGCGGGAATTTATACTTGTGTAGAGGTAAACTGTCCGTAGTTTGCTCTGCAGCCACTACCGTATAACCTTTCTTCCGTAAATCGTCAAGGTAATGCAAGAGGTCATCGGGTCGAACCTGGAACTTCCAGCCTTTCTTCTTCAAGATACAAAACAACGACGTACAGCTTCAATCTTCTGCTTTTTTTCTGCTGACATGCTCAACGACTTGAAACCTGCATCAGCGGTATAGACTAGATCGGCTATCACCAAGGTATCCACAGCGAAAATTTCGCATGTTCTACATAACCCTAAAAACCAATGAATGTCTCCGAATTCAAAAGCAGTAAACGTTTCCAGACAGGTGGTCAAGATTACCTCCAAGATTGTTCGGTTTGTCAACAAGTGATGCGACCACAATCAAACTGCAGTCCTCTCGTATGCTTCTTTGCCTCGTGATTATCTTTCGCTGAACGGGTGCAGACCCTCAAATAATCAATTCATAGTTTTTTCGAGTTTAGACTGAAATGTTGCTTATCAAAAAAAAAAAAAGAACTGCTGGGTATCCGCTCACCTCCATTCTCCTGCACTGAATCCAATTCCTCGGAAATTTCAGGAGCACAGCTGCTACTTTTCGAAAGCCCTATTTTGTGTGTCAAATTCCATTCAAAAACCCCCAGTAAAAATCATACCAGAATTAACAAGTGATAGAGCAGAGGAGAGATCCTGGTCGTTGCTCAAGCTTCGCATAGAGGAAGTGTTGAATTTCTGAACAGATAGATGAACAATAGCATAAAGGATAATGAAGAAAAAATGAAATTCTCTACCTGCAGCAATTCTATTGGGAGAAGTTCTTCAGTAGTCATTCCTGTTTTTGACGGTACCGTGTTGAAAACCGTCTGCATATCGAAGTGATCTACAGGATGTAAATGTGCAAAGTAGAAATCGTTCAATAAGTTGTCGATAATTCGTTGCGAGTTTCTGTAATCTATATATAATTCTTATTACAAATTTGATGTTTAAGGCAAGTACTAAAATTTGCATATAACCCAGAAAAAAGGTGCTTCCCGCACCTGTTTATGGTTACGCGAGCAGAACCCGCCAAAAACTCTAATGTCAGAAGGATACTTTGTAGCTTTAGCAGTTCGCCTGGACCGAATTCTTTTTGATTGGATTTTTATACATTCTTGCGGATATTACACAATACACACATTGGGTCTAAAAGAAAGCCTTTTTTTGAAAATGGCGTAAGTGCTGCGCAATATTTATATGCGAGAGTGAGTAAACTATATGCTGAGATCCTTTGAATGCAATTGCAGAAAACATTTACCCAGTAGGCTCGCCGCCGAAATCAACTATGCGCTGAAGTATCTGCCATCGTTTCCTATCTTCAGGGTTCAAACTTTTGTAAAGGAGACGAAGACCAGCGATAGCCGTGCATCGCACAGCAAAATTCTGTGCAGTAGTCCACGGCAGAACCGACTCGATATATGCGGCTGACGACGGCTGCAAGATTCAATTTTTAGAAGGGGAATGCACAGGTCGAAAATTCGCAATTCTCACTTCTGCACGAGACATCAACACATGCATGTTGATCCAAGACGAAACACTCCCTATTCTTTTATTAGCAAAAATACGTTCGTGGTCAATCATCTTCTGCTTGAACTTTGGGCTGCGCAACGCTATGCGAACAAGCAGCCACTCCAGAATGAGCTTGATTGAGAACTGCTGGCATGGATCAACAATCCATTCCACACAAGTGTCGAAAACCTTGTCAAGAACAGACTGAAAAATTCTCAAACATCAGTAAATAGCGCCTAAACAGACAATCAGTATCGAACCTCTTCAGACACAAAGTCTGCGATCAAAAGGAGAAGTGAAACTGCGCGTGTATTCTGACGGTGAGCAAGTGACAAACCGAATGACCTGAACCATTAGATGCATATCAAGCTTCTGAAGAACAGCTAATGAACTCACCGAGAAGAGCTTGAATTCATGATGTTTGTTTCAGATATGATTATATCAACAAGACTATCTGCAAACTGAGAATCTTTCTTTGACAAATTTAAGGCAGCACATATCCCATTCAATCTTGTCCTCTGCATAATTTCAAATGGTCTAAAATACATAATTACTGGTCCTTGTAATGAGCGCCTATCACTGTTCGCCAGAAAACAGAACAGAAACTGTATGATACAGCTGCCGTAAGAAAACATATAAACTGTATAAAGATACAGTCAAAAATTTTGAATTCCAAATTATGTGGAAGTGCCCTTTGCACTACAGGCGGATTAACCCAACAGTATTTCAATAACCGACTAACCGACTAGTAAATCAGAAACAAGGAGAACCATCAGAATGCAAAAAGCAACAAAAAGCGGATAATAAAATGATAAAATTGAAGGACTTATGCTGCATAGAAGTATTTTTTTTTCTAAAAGAAAACGGGTGGCGACAAAGCTGGCTAACACTTACCTCTGTAGATCATCTACATCATGTGCAATCTCCTTATAGATCATCTCATAGGCTGCATCCACAACACGCGCTTCCTTTTTGGGTATCGGACCAAACACAGCAAGAGCAAAAATCTTGGGTGAAAAGAAGACTTACATGATTATATTGCAAACATGGGATGGGCTTACCATGTCTGTCCAATCACAGCTGAGAAGATCTAGGTGTTCTGCGTTCAGAATTGCTTCGGAGAGCACGAATGCCACGGTAGTGTTGAGTTGTGCTAGATCAAGCAATTCGTGGCAAAAGTCCTGGAGAAAAACCAAGTAGTATTTTCCAGCAACAAGCCAGGGAAGCGCGCCTCACTTTGACTCGCTCCCTTATTACGTCCAGCGACATCATGGGCTTGGAGAAGAATAGCCTGCAGGAACGTTGATTTTGTAGATTATAGTAAAACAATAGGAAGCGAGATTATGATTGGAGAATTAGAGAGACTACCTCAAAGTTTGTCGCACAGCAGGCAAGAAGTTGAGGGATTTTCTTTCTTCATTAGTAGCACCAACTGCTACGTTGATCAATCTTATCAGAGTTTCTTCACATGTCACCTTCACACTTTATTCAAGTATTAGTATGAGAAAGAAAAGGAAGCAAACCTTTTCTAACAAATGGCTAGAGATTGCTAGATAGCATTCGGTTACAGAGTATGCCGAAGCACAATCGATCAGATCAACGCATTCCGAAAGCATATCCTCAGCATTCGCAGACAAACCTGGTAGGACTCTAAATGAGAAAGAATACAGACGATAGAATGCCACTGGCAGAAATCTTACTTCAAAACCAGCTTCAAGCGATACTCATGAATGGTAGACGCTACCTTATTCATGTAACTCTCCCGGGGAATATCAGCGTCTCTAAACAAAAGGAACTAAAAGGCAAGAAAAAGTGAAAGGAAATTTACTTTTTCACTCGTAAAGGTTGTAGCGGGGTATTTCCTAGATAGGCACGAATCTTTAGCAAAAGGTCCTGAGAATCCTCCTTATCAAGTTCATCATCTAAAAGCTCATGGAGTACTCCAAGAAGTATAGCATGACGATCGAAGGGTAGTGATTGCTAAATCAGTGGTTAAGCATACAGGTTGAAAGTAACCTCGTATTCGAGAAGCAGGAAAAGCAGAAATCTGCGAAGATGGCAAACCTCTATACCTCCGTAATAAGTGACAGAGCGAGTTCTATGAAAGGCTTTGTAGACAGCTTCATACGCTTGATCAAGCTCGTATAGACATTACGAATCATGTATGCATGCTGCAAACAAACCATAGTGAAGCACAGATTTCGCAGCAAATTTGATGATAAAATCAAAACGACTGCATAGGAAGAGTAGTAACATCACAACCTTTTTAGAGGCAATAGCAATTTGTAGTAGAAGGTATCCACTCACAAGCTGGATTAAGTCTTGGTTTATCAAGCTCAAATCTATAAAAGTGCTTTATATGAAAAAATAGCAAAGATCACAGTCTTTTGTTTAACAAAAATGCTCACCTTTGTGCGAATGGAGGAGAATACATAACAAAACATCAACAGCAGCAACCACTGTCTCTGAAAGCCCAATATCTACACCATCGTCTACAGCTGTGAGGCGATCAGCCAACTCCAATTCAACCCTTTCCAGCAGTTCATCCTCCTTCTTTGAAAGACTAGCGCGTACCCATATTAGAGAAGAAAAGTCGTCCTTCTACAAGACTGAGTTTCAAAGAGCTGATATTAATCTCATTGCAAACCTCAGATGTATGTTGATGAGCAGATGTATCTAGCATAGCTCGTTGGAGCAAATCAGATGGTTCGCCAGCTGTTAGTATGACTTCTCGAATGGAATCTACATAGATAAATTTGTCAAACAAAATGGGAGAGTTGATAGAGAATGATGGGCAAAGGCGAGCAACATCATCGAAAGACTCCGGGACCTGTGAACCACCAATTTCATGAGAGAAAAAAAGCGTTCATACATAAGCTGCAATCAAACCTACTTTTTCGAGCATACTGCAATAAAAAACAACGAAGTTGAATATCGTCTTGTACTTTATTGTGGTATGTTGTATATACAGCGTTTTCCGGACCAAAGTCCTGCAAAGTTGCCAAAATATTGTAGTAACTTATGTAAGATAGCACTGCATAAAAACTCACTCGATCATCATGAGGTCATTTGCAGGTAAACAATGGAAAGCTTGTATCAGCATAACCGCTTCAGAAAGAAAAAACAAAGAAGTAGGACTGGATAACTTATGAAAAGCACTCAAAATTGCTTTGATAAATGGAGCTAAAACCATAACCTAGACTTCTTGGTTTTCCAAACAGAAAAGCGTACCTCTGTCAGGCTCAGCCAAAGACATCAAAACTCCTTCAAGCAGACGACCAAGTGACTTCAAAAAAGCCTGCAGGCAGTCGCGTTCCAAAAAGCGCCAAAAAGGATCGTTAGAATTGAGATGCTCGGAAATCACTGACAATAAGAACTGAAAATTTGTATGGCAAGTGAGTCTCAGGGCAGATAATGAAAAAAAAGACATTAATCGGATGATAAAGCCGTGAAAATACTTACATCTTTGTTTTCAGCCATAACACCAGCATCTACCGAAACTACTTTCTCGAGAGACCATGATCGCACCCATCCGTTGGAATGAGCTAAGGCTCTCAAGAAAATGACAGAAGCCCATTTGAAATCAAGTAATCCCGAGTGAACAGAGTTAAGAACGTCGTCCATTTTGGGAAGTACAGGTTTGATGATGTGAAACTGCAAAAGACTGATTGCAACGATTTGTGTTAGATGAAAGCATACAACTCGCAAGAATTAATCGCAAAGCATGTGCATAAAGAATGTTAAACTTCTAAGCCAACAAAAGGGCGCAAGCATATATCTTCAAAAACCATAAAAGTAAAATCTAGGGTGACATCACAACCTCAACATCACTCTCCACAGTCTGGCTGAGCATTACCACATGTAGAGGATTTTCTATGTGCGCACTGAGGGAAGACTCAACAGATACTGACGCCTTACCTGAGGTTCCTCGAGACACTGGGACAATGTTAAAAAGTTGCTCCAGAGAGATTCTTCGTCAGCAATAAGCATTCGAAGACAAGCATACGCAGCTTTTCTCCCAGAACGAGAACATGTGCTATCTGAAATCGTCGGTTTTATCAACGCTTTCATTCAAAAAACGGGAATGCTCACCAGTCAGGATGCAGTAGATCAAGTTTAAGAAGTTCGAACGGAGTGTACCTGGACATTTTTCCGCAAGAAAAACAAGCGAGGGTAAAGCATTTTCAAGCTCTTCACCACTCAACGTTTCAAAATAACTGAAAGGCAATGATATGATTAGCTCATACACAATAAGAACTTACATAAGCAAATCTGCCACATCGTCTTCGCTTTGTGCGTTGTCGACAAGAGCGATGAAGTAGCTCCTAGTGTGCACATCTTCAGATGTTGTGAGAGTGCCACACATTGTGGATACTGGATTTGCCCAAGCTAACCAGAACCATGGTTTTTATGATGATAAATAGGCTCACAGAAAAGCATCGCAGGTATACACCACAACGAAAACACAAAAATGATTTCCAATTCATTCATCTCCGACAAATTAACATTGTGGACTGTAAATGTATATAGTGGGAATATTTGATAAAAGTCAAAAGATAAATTATCTATACAAAAGTGCACTAATCCTAACATGAGATGTGCTCGATCACACTAAGCAAAAGAGTGAGGTCGAATCGGTCTGAGGGGATCAAACAGTTTCGGGTCTCTTGTATATTTCGGATCCTTCACAAAGATAGGCATATAACCAGCTTTCCTTGACAAAGCTATAGTTTCTACAAGTTTCTTCTGCTGATGATCACAAAGCCCGGTGATGTGCCGGTCATACACTCGTCCCGAAAACGTTGAGACAAATTGCTAAAGCAAATCATCTCCTTACAAAAAAATAGGATGTTTATGCGCAAACCTGCAATAATCGGGCGTTCTTATAGTCAAGCTCGATTCCTGTTCGACATAGCAAACATTTCCTATCTTCTTTTTTATAGGGATTGCTTTCTATCTCAACGGGGGCATCAGGATCACTACTACCTAAAACGTGAAGATAGGTGAGGTTTTAAAGCAAAGAAATACCAACCAGACGCTTGCTGGGTTATGGTTTCAGTCTCACTAAAGGTGGAAAGTAGACAGGATGGAGCCTTCAGCACGAAAGAGTTGCCCTTCATCAAGTAACAAAACGCAAAAGATCTCTTCAGCCACATCTGTAGAAAGATATGCTTGATACACAAATATATCAAACTTCGTATACGTCAAATAATGAAAGATTTTGGAGAGATGTTAGGATCAAAAAGTCAAACCAACACGAACGCCCGTAAAAGGGCTCGGACCTGGGAGGAGTTGCAGGTGCTCAGAGCATTGGGTCGTGCGGGCGGGCTGCGAAGTAGCCCTTCCGTGCGTGCGGGCAGCCTAATTATAAGGGTCATTCGAGCCCCCGTGCGAGCGCGCCGCATGAGTTTAGGCATGCGAGCGGGCAACCATGTCTTTTCTGCGGCAGCGCGTAAAGGAACGCTGCCCAGACGCGCAATTACGGACTGTTTCAAAAAGAAAAGGCACGGTAATTGATGCGCAGATCTTCTCAACTTTCTCCTTTGAGATTGTTTTATAACAAAAGCTTCTACACTTGAATCTTCTCTAGCTTATGTAGGACTTCTCTTATGCTGTATTTGTCATCGTTTTGGATGCTATGCTGCAATAGTTTTATCGCCCTCCCATGCGTATTTCTTTTTCAATATTGATGCTAGAGCATTCTGGGATACTATGACCCCGTCTTTTTCCATGGTATTTTTGTTTGTTTGAGTTTTTTGTCATCCGTGTCATTCATTGATTGACCTTTGCCATAACTGACGTTTACCATAGAGACTTCGCACCTCATTTCGATGTGTGACATTCTGCCTACGCTCACTTGTGATGATCCGACGCTTTCTATAAATGGAACCCATAACATCGATTGCCACGAACACTCACTTAAATTTTCTACTACCTAAAGGTTCTATTGGACTACACGACAAGTATGGTTCCTTGACTCGCTTGCCTTGATAATATGCCCAATTCTTTCAGCGGATACGAAGGATAGGTGTGATAGCACGACGTTTTATTCGAAGTGGTCCTACGACATTAATCAGAAAACCCTTCATTTCTAGATCCTCAAGGATGTCTTTATTGGATCACACAACGAGGTATGATAGCAATCTTATTTGTTCTAATGAGATGCGCCATTACTTTCAGCAAAATAACAAACACTGTGCACAACAGTGTATCAATAAATAAATAAATAAAATACAAATGGATAAAGGCTGAAGATCGAAGCAAAGGTGATTCCTTATCACTGTTGGCGTGCTGTGTTTGTTTGACAGTTTTATTTTTCAGAGCATGGAAAAAATAACTATTTTGGATGAAGGTTACCTTTAATAAACGAGCGGAAACGCAGAATTTGAAGCAACCTTACGGACTATTGTTTTGTGTTATATTTGTATATAATATCAAATGTTATATGAGAGATTGTAACGCGCAGCATAGTAATTGACAGTTCGTCTTGTCTCTTATCTTGCTTTCTGTTCTTGTTCATGATGTTAGTTTGTTCTTTTACAGGACAGTTATACATTTTTGCTTGCGCGATTCTGTCGAATTGTAATGTTATGATGTTTTGGTTTACAAAATAAACATTTAACGCATTAATGGAGTACATTCAAGCATCACACATAAACAAGCAACAAAAATAACCCCGAATAAGTGTCCAAAATTATCAACCCCCGTGCGTGCGGCAACCCACCGTCATGCGGGCGCGCTGCGATACCGCTACGGCCCGCAACACCGGCGCCCGCTCGCTGCGGCATGGCAACCCGCCCGCACGGAGCGAATCCCTGAGTGCGCTCCATAGCCATTTCGATTAGAGCACCGTTTTTTCAACTGGAGCGCGCTACCTCCAAACACTTCCACGCCGATCTGGGTATTTTTGAGTATACGTATAGTCTTTGACATCTTTGTGGGAATTTGACGGTAAAATGTGGACAAATCATGTCAGAGGATCAAAACTGCCAATTCTTTGTTACGATAAGACCCGTTTGCGGGCATTTCATGCGTAGAAAAAATTCTGTGAAACATCAAACCATTTTGCTGCTTAACTTTGAAGCACAAACCCGCAAGCCCGCCAGAAATTTGAAATCCTTGAGAATGTTTTGCTCGAAATACATAAATTCCAAGCATGCTGGATTTTTTGTGCATATTCGACCGACCCTACATGTGCTTGGACTCTTGTCACATGTATTTCCACGAATATATACAATATCTATGCTCTCAATGGATCTCAATGATAAGTAAGATCTGCTCCAAGTTTCAAGGTTTCCAGATTTCCGGATTAGTGTGAACGCAGCCTACGGCATGTGCCTATGCCGTCCTACGAAAAACTACGAACTTGTCCCGAAGTGATGCTCAGTGAGAACATGGCAGCAGGCCGAGTTCTATGTTCAGCACATTGGTCAGCTCTTGCTCAAAAAAATTCTCATTAATTTCAATTCCAGTAAGTAAAGTTTCATAGTTAACTTAGTATAGCACCAAGTTTCAAAATTTGTTTGTTTCTAGAGAATTCCTGAGGTTGACAGCTGGGCAAATTAATTTTGTACATTCAAAACTATTCACTAACTGCAAAAATCTCGGTTTTTCCATTTAGCAAAACGTTACAGTCTATAAAGGTCACCAGCATAAAGTTGCCATTTTTCACCCATTTTTTCTTCAATTTTCAATCTAAGCATCATCGACAAGCTTATCGAACAACATTAGCAATGATGATTTACGACTATGCAGCGCTTTTGAAGCTCATGAGAAAAGGCGACGATTGAAATATGACACATTCGATTTCTTTTTTTTAGCTCTCATTGCTTCAAAGACGTCGATCTAACAAGTTTGCCAGCAGATCTCAGGAAAGAATTTTATGTTTTCGAGATAAGTTATGTAATTACAAGACAGTTATAGGTCGTCTCAAGAAAAAAAGACAAAGCAACACCGTAAAGGATGTTTTTGAAGGAGTAGGAAGGACTGAAACACAGCTGTTGCCAGAATTTGATTGGCCACATGCGAGCCGTAAAAAGAGTTCGCACACGAAAACCAGTGCTAAATCCATCCCAATTTAGCGCTAGCAGCCCTAAGATACTTCTAAAAGCTGCACAAAGTGGATCCTCAAGTGGTGTGAACTCAAAGAGAAGTTAGAGCAGCAGAGATTAACTCAAAAACGGAAGTTCAAGACAGTTACTGACAATGAGTTTCAAACGTAAATTCAGGCAAAGGTTATAGAGGGTAAATGCTAATATGGCTGGACTAGATAGTTGCATGGATTGCTCAATCTTGCTACCTTAGATTCAATTCAAAACAGCAATTGAGAAGGTCAAAAACTCATGAAAATGCAGTTAAGAACAAATTCGTAAGTATTTTGGTTAGTTTTCCAGCAGAAGCCACCAGACTTAGCAAGTGGTAACCTCAGACAGATAGTAATCCAATGCACTTTATCTGGTTTTTTTGAAGACTCGTATAGCACTACACTGGAGTTTTAAGTTGGTGACAGCCGGAGAAATCGCGCCTCTTGATCGTCTCCCCTTTTTTCATTGTTGAACCAAAAGCGTTGTTGCATAACTCTAGTGAGTAGAGTAAAATAAGAACCAAAACAAAGGTCATATATAGAAGAACACAAAGCAAAAGTATTGTTGAGTAATGCATGAACGCCAAATCATGAGAACCGTAGGGTATGATGATATGTCCTGACAGCTTGAGAAGAGGAAGAGTACATGCAAGCGGAATGAACCAAAACATTCTATTATTTTGCACATGGTCCCTCTCCCAGTCTTCCATCTCTTTGGAAAGTTTGTGAAACGCTAAGTGTTAGGAGATAGTGCGCCCCACTTGAAAAAACGGTGCTGTAATCGAAATGGCGATGGAGCGCACCTGCAACTCCTCCCAGGTCCGAGCCCCTTTACGGGCGTTCAACCAACACCAGTTTGAATATAGGCGTCAAGAAAAGCGTAGTGTATTCGCCCCACACGACTTGACGCCTATTTTTCAAAACTATACCGGCTCTATGGCGTAGTAATGGGTAAAGCTAAAGGCTGGCCAAGCCGGCCAAGCTCTACCGCGACTTTTGATGCTCTATAGGCTGCGTTCATACTGATCCCGAAGCCCGGGAACAGTTCCAGTACAGCGCTTAAAATGAGCAGCCTATAGAGCATCAAATGTCGCGGTAGAGCTTGGCCGGCTTGGCCAGCCTTTAGCTTTACCCATTACTACACTTACAAAAAAAAACGATACTCGATGTCCGTGGCCTTTTGAGATGAAATGTATACCATTACACTCGTCTTGGAACGCTGGTTCCGAATCTGCCCTCCGCTTCTGCTAATCGTTTCTCTGAAAGAAGTTAAGAAGGATTTTCGCGCCAAGGCTTGAGAGAAATACGATAGGCACACCGAAAACGTCAGTGCGGTGTGGTGTAGTGATTAGTGCGATGGTCTCACAAGTTGATGCAGGTGTAGGTTCGAATCCTTTCTCGTCTCTCGCTTTTGCACTGGCTCAATTGAGCTTCTTTTTGAAAGTTAGGCATTCTCGACGTAAATGCATGCTCTAACTCTTCACAAAAGGTGAAAATTTGGGGAAAATGGTTACTGTTTACGTCAAAATGTATTTATTGATCACAGTTCGAGTAAATTTACTCGAACAAAGCGAACAAGCCATTAACAAGTGAGTCATGCACAAGGCGACGCATGACTTGTACTTTCTGACCCACAAATCGATACTTGAACAAGCAGTATCATCAACCAAGTACCTGTGATCGCAAAATGTTTTGTCCAAAAGTGGTGATTTTGCATCTACTGGAAAAGTTCGGTCCATGTGAAGTGACTCGCACTCCCCAGGAAGGAGCAGAAGATTATAGACCACTTTACCTCAATTCTACGTGAGGCAGCCTACGGTAGCCTCGAGATCGAAGATGAGTGCGATGTAATAGAAAGCTCCGACACTGACACCTCGGGTTTGCAGAAGACCGATGAAGAAGACCTAGAGAATGAAGGAGCCATTCGCTTTGAAGGCGTTGAGGTTTCAGAAGAATTGGTATGTTAGCCAGCTATTTTGCGCGAATTTTCCTTACCAGAGGTCTACTGCAGATCAAAGACGCCATCGAATTTTATCGGTCATCAGAGAGAGGCGCTCGATCACTTTCATGCATGACGAACAAATTTCGTTTCGTAACGAGTGATTACCATA